CCTGTGCTGTATTATGCCGTAATACTGAAAAAAGACCATAAACATAATAAATAACCGAACCAAAGATATCACACGATAACATACAATGAACAATCACACCATTTCCTCATTTCATTTCACTTTTAACTTACGTTGTAGCGGGACGCCCGCAGTGCATAGTCTGAAGAGCCGGGGTAGTGCCACGCGGTGGGTACAAACTATACAAACATGCGCCACATTCGAAGGCATTGGTTGGCATGTCGAGACTACGAAATAATTCGACGCTGCCTCCAGCCAACAGCTGTCCGAGGCAAGGACCAGCAATGCTAGCGCCCCCTAACAACACTACCACTGCCATCTGGTGGTCACTTTCCCTTTCAAGCGGGCGGCCGTACACTTTCACTTTCGGCTACCCGCGGTCACATGGCTCCCTTAAATTTACCAAATTTACCACATATCAAACAAGTTAGTGGCAAACTAGTTCAATGCGACCATGCACTGCAAACAATGGAAGCGAGACAGGGTGCGGCAAGCAAAGAGGTAACTCCCAGCGTTCACCGCTATGTTACATTCAACAAACTCAACACAAGCGTGGCTCCCTTTGATTTTAGCTCCCTGCAACTCATGGCTCCCTGTAGCTCATGGCTCCCTGTAGCTCATGGCTCCCTGTAGCTCATGGCTCCCTGTAGCTCATGGCTTCATGTAGCTCAAGGCTACCTTAACTTACAACTAACATAGCTATGCGGTTCACCAAGCTCAATTGGCGGCACACTAGGGCCGACACAAATGTCCGCAGGTCACTGCATCTCACAGGCGACTGCGGGGTAGGGGTCCACTCCGCTCTGCTGACGCTCACCGGTTCCCAGACCGTGCAGTACTGCCATTCACCGGTAGCACAGACTCAACGCATTTGACACCGTCAGTCACAGTGCCAGCGTCACGGCGCTGTCACGGTAGCTCGCACCAGAGCTCGGCCATATATCGCCGCCACTCGGGTCACCGACTGCCAGGATGAGAAGCCGGCCTGGCTCCACGTGTCCCGTTCTCGGAGGCTCACTCGGTCATCAGTCTCACCAGCCGGTGGATGGGGCTGTCGTAGATGCTGCCTCCAGAGAGCAGAGTGACCCTCCGCACGAGCCCATCGGCGGACTTGTGTGCCTGCACCACGCGACCCAGAGGCCACCGGCTGCGTGGAGCGTTGTCATCCAGGATGAGGACCACGTCTCCGGCCTTCACGTTCGGCTCGATCTGGGTCCATTTCTTTCGCTGTGTAGAGACGGCAGGAAGTCGGAGCGCCACCGCCTCCAGAACTGGTCGGCCATCTCCTGCACTCGCCGCCAGCGTCGTCTAGAGTAGGCGTCCTCCCGCCGAAAGGCGCCCGGCGGCGGCGCCACTACACTACTTTTGAGCGTTAAGAGTTGCATTGGGCAGAGGGGCTGGGGTTCGGAAGAATCGGAAGGATCGAGGACGGTCAGCGGGCGACAGTTCACTATGGCCTCCGCCTCGGCCAGAAACGTCCTCAGCAGCTCGTCATCGAACCCGCCCTGCTGACAGTGCGCTCTCAGAACGCCATCCAGCGCTGCTCGTGCTGAACGTATCATGCGTTCCCAAACGCCCCCCATGTGGCTGGCGTGAGGGACGTTCATCTCAAACTTTGTCATCTCGCAGTCGTGACGAAGGAGACCTCTTCTGAGCTGATCCGTGTCCATCTCGCTGAAGGCGTTCTCCAGCTCACTCTTGCCGCCCATGAAGTTGGTTCCGCGGTCAGAACGCAGGAGCCTCACTGAACCTCTTCGCGCGACAAAACGCCTGAAAGCGTTTAAGAACGCGTCGGCTGAAAGAGAGTTCACTGTTTCAATGTGGATGGCGCGGCTGCATAGGCACGTGAATAGCATGCCCCACCTCTTCACCTGACTGCGCCTCTCCCTCACATAGTAGGGCCCAAAACAGTCCACTGCTGAGTACGTGAAGGGCGCCGCTTCTTGAAGCCTGTCGGGCGGCAGGTCGGCCATCTTCTGTTGCTGGGGTCGCCCGCGCAGCTTCCTGCAGGTCACGCAGCTCTGAAGATACTGCGACACAGCAGACCTCGCCCCGATGACCCAGTAACCCGAGGTTCGTAGCCGACTCAAAGTCGTTCCACGCCCCGCGTGCCCCGCAGCCTCATGACAGTGAGCGACAATCAGATTCGTCACATGCGACTTCCTGGGCAGAATGATTGGGTGAACTTCAACATCTGGGAGTCTGCTCCGCCTCAACCTTCCACCCACTCGCATCAACCCGTCCCTCACGAATGGGTCGAGACCAGCGAGCTCGGTTCCGTTACGGCTGCTCATCACCACTTCTCCGTGGTCGTTGGTGCTGACTTGCACCATCTTCATGAACTTGGCTCGGTCTTGAGTCGCTTTCAGGATCACTCGCTCTGCCTCCTGAAGCGTTTCCACCTGGAGCTCTGTCACAGGCGCTCTGGATCTGTCGGTCGCTTCTCTGTTGACCTTCCTTTTCTTCACCTTGTCTCGCAGGAGCCTCACGTACAGCAGGCAAACAGCTACCGCTCGCTTCGCCCGGTACCAGTCGGAGAAGTACTCCAATCGCTCCGCGAGGTCTGCATACTTCGTTCTGGTGTCGGCCTTGAACACAGTCACTCTCTTGAGCTCCTTGTCCTCTGGATCCACTTCGGCACGTTCTTCAGGCTCGGGCAGGTCCGTCACTGAAGAGCCCATGCTCGACTTGTCCCGGGTTTCTTCGAAGTCCTTTTCAAGTACTCTGATGAGATCAAGAGGGTTCTCACGAGTCTTCGTCCTGAAAGAGAAGTGACAGATTCTCTTGCGACCGTCTCCCGTGTCCACGTAGCAACACATTCTGGAGCTTTTCTCTGTCGAACCGACGATTCCCCAGCCCAGTGTCGTCCGTACAGCCCAAGGCTCGTCGACCTCCCCTGGCCGCACTTCCTGCGGTTTGATGGCTCTCGGACAGGACGTGCCGAGCAGGAGGCCGATCTCAGCTGACTCATAGTAGTCTGGGATCTGGTCGGAGATGTCCACCATGTGCCTCCACTTGAGCGCTGTCTCCCTCCGGGGGATTGATGACCTGGAGCACGGGATGCCCTCCCTTGTGTAGCAGGTGGGCAGACGAATCTCTTCACAGGCCTCTTCGGAGTTCAGAGGCTGGATGACCAGGTCTTCAACTGCTTCACTGTCGATCGTGGTTTGTCCCGCGATGGTGCTGAGATCCAGTCTGGTCTTCCTTCCTCTAGCACCCACTGCTGCGCGGGCAGACTTAGTGACGAAGCAGGCGTCAGATTGAGCATCAAGCAGCGCGTACACAACAACCTTGCGTCCGGGCTGCTTCCTGTTGCTAAGCAGCACGGGTACGACCAGGCAGTGGCAAGAGTTGCTCACCGATTGCAGACAGGTAGCCGCTCCTCCAACTGCCTCATGTGCTGCTGCTGCCGCGATTTCCGGGTCATGCAGGAGAGTTGGATGCTGTCTGCCACATGTGGCGCACTGGGCCTTGCGGAGACAGTGTCGCCACAGGTGCCCCTTCTTCAGACAGCCTCTGCAGAGATGCAGTTCTGCAACCATCTTTCTTCTGTCGGGCAGCGACATGTTCATCACCTGCGGGCAGGAGGTCAGCACATGGTTTCCTTGACATTTCAAACACTTCTTTACATGTGACTGCTCAGTAGAAGCTGTGAACGTTCGGGCTTCACTCCGTGTCTTCTTTGGCTGTCTTCTGTTCGTGCTCTCCCTTGTCTCGTGACTCAGCCTGTCTGAATACTCTGTTGTGACACCGCTCCCTACTGGTCCACATGCGATTCTTGCCTCCACAGAGACGAACCGGACAAACTCTGAAAATGGAGGGTACTTGCTGCCTTCTCTGGACTTGTTCCCGTACAACCAGTCGTCCACGATCCTCTTCCAGCTGTCCACTAGATGCTTTGGCAGCTTCTTCAACATCACTTCATTTTCCATGTGGTCGTCCAGAACTGCCAAGTTCCTCATAGAGCTTGAAGCTGCTGCCAAACAGTGTTCAAGATGGTCAGCGAAGTCTCTGAGGCCACGACCATCTCCTGCCTTGATGTTTGGCCACTCCCTGATCTTGCTCCGATAGGCGTTGGCGACAATGAAGTCGTTCCCGAAGCGGTCTATCAGCTTCTCCTTCGCCAGCTTGTACCCTTCTTCTGTTCTGAGATGCAGCAGGCCACTGATGGCTCTCTTCGCTTCACCACCAGTGTACTTGGCCAGGAAGTGGAGGCGCTGAATTGAAGATTCTGTCTTGCTCTCGATGTGAGTTTCGAAGGAGCTGAGCCATAGGTTGAAGCGTGCAACATCACCTTTGAACACCTCAGGTTCCAGAGTGGGGAGATCAGCAGTCTTCTTCTGGTCTATTAGTAACTTGATCATTTGTGCTGCAGTAATCTCCCCATCGCCTGTCTTCTCAGCTTGAGCAGGTACTTCTTCATGATCTGTTCCCGGGCGTCCTGCAACATCAACAGCTTCATCTGCTGGAGCTTCAGCTTCACCTTCTGCAGCACACAGAACCTTGATCCTGGCTTCACTCATCTTCCTTTCAATTTCTCGATCAAGCATTTCTTGTTCTTGTGCCATCACCTTTTCCATCTCCTCCCTTCTCCTTTGCAGCTCCAGCTGCCTGGTAGCCATTGATGCTTGAACTTCCTTCTCTGCCTTCAGCTTCATTTCCTCCACCTTCATCAAGAACAGTTTGTCTCTTACTGCTTGTGAGTTACTGCTGCACTGGGATCCACATTCCGAGTGACTTCGGCGGACTGCTTGAGCAGGATGAGCTGTCAGGTAGTCCTCAATCTGGGCCTTCCAAGTGTTGAGCTGACCAAGCAGACTCTGGTGCTCCACCTGCAGTTCGTCCCTCTCCTCCTGTTCCAACAGGCAGCACAGAACCTCGTATGTCTGGACAAAATCCACATACTGATGTTTCCATGCATCAAACTCTGCTTGAATGAATGACCTGTCTCCTTGTGGGATAGCCTCAACGATCACTGGTCCTGTCGAGACTAGATGTGACTTCAGACCTTTGTACGTCTTCCTCTTAACCTCCACTTGATACTGTGCTCCTTTCTCAGTAGGTTGGAGAGGCCTTCCTTTACTCGACTTCATTTGGTGGTCCATTGTGACTCAGTTCAGGTTGGGAGCAGATTAGGCAGAAAATGGGATGGAGGAATGGAGTGCCCAAGTTAGTATCTACTCCTAAAGTGGTCAGTATTGGTACTTCTAGTTCTACGGGAATGAAGTAAGTACAATCTGATCATGTTAGTCTAGCACTCATTGTGAAGCCCAAGCAAAACAACAGAAAATGATAACTGCACAATGTCTTGACGACAACCAAAATGAAATGATCATCTGGCCCTCAACTACATTGAAAACCTCAGGGCCTTGTCTCAAATTGAGGGCAACAAAATCAGCAGATGTCTAAAGTAGGTACCTGAGCTCTTACCAATCAATGTTCATGAACAGAACATGTTGGCATTTCAGTTAAAAGTGGTAAATAAATCACAACATATCAAGGCACAATCAATTCCGTCTACCAATCTGTCTTCACTACTGTCAACTCAACTCTACTACTCAACTCTGCCATTACGACTGGCAAACAAGAAAACAACTGTTCTTAACTGACAACTATCACTGCCGGTTTACCCTCAACCAGTACTGCGGCTTACCCTCAACTATTACTGCGGCTTACCCGCAACTATTACTGCGGGTTACCCTCAACTATTACTGTGGCTTACCCACAACTATTACTGCGGCTTACCCTCAACTATTACTGCGGCTTACCCTCAACTATTACTGCGGCTTACCCTCAACTATTACTGTAACAGCTACTGTTAGACTACAATCCGCCTTTTCTCTCCTGTGCTGTATTATGCCGTAATACTGAAAAAAGACCATAAACATAATAAATAACCGAACCAAAGATATCACACGATAACATACAATGAACAATCACACCATTTCCTCATTTCATTTCACTTTTAACTTACGTTGTAGCGGGACGCCCGCAGTGCATAGTCTGAAGAGCCGGAGCGCTGTTCGGCAGCCGGCTATTTTGTGTGCAGGGTATGACGTATTTCGCGAGCCGACGTCACAGGCGGTGACGTCGGCTCGCGCGCGAGCCGAGCGCCAACGACAAACTAACGAGAACCCTCGGACACCCTCGGGGCATAAACCGCGGAGTAGCATATTGAGCGAGTCTTATAAGGAAAATTCATATATTTTCGTTTCTCAAATGATAATCAGGGTGTCTCTTACCTTTTTACATATCATTTAGGCTTACCTAACACTTCAGTTGCCAAATATCTGCAATTTATTCAAGCGAAGGTATTTTCAGTAAATATGAATGGTATAGACCGAAATCTTTTGAATAAAAACTCCAACCAACAGAAATAAAAATAACTTAATTTATTCCAACCATTTCCTCCAAATAAACAACATAAAAACTCACTTTTACACACATCATTCATAATAAAGCATACTAACACGCCGCTTTTGACAATTGCGGCGTCGAGTGGCGCGCTGCTAGCGCTCTTTTTCGGACAACACTATTCGACCGCCACCCTTGCAGCCATTCTATAACTCAGGAACTACTGGACCGATCGGAACGAACGAAACACCATTCGAATCAGGGGGTACAATTTTATCAGCCGTTTCGAATCTTGTGACCCCAGGTGACCTCGGTGACCTCAAGAGGTCAACTCGGCATTGACGCCTATTGCAGCCATTCTATAACTCAGGAACTACTGGGCCGATCGCGACAAAAACACCACCAGTCGAATCAGCGTATGCGATTTCATCAGCCGTTTCGAATATGGTGACCTCAGGTGACCTCGGTGACCTCAAAAGGTCAACTTAACGTTTTCGCCTATTGCAGCCATTCTATAACTCAGGAACTGCTGAGCCGATCGCGACGAAAACACCACCAGTCGATTCAGCGTATCCGATTTCATCAGCCGTTTCGAATATGGTGACCTCAGGTGACCTCGGTGACCTTGGGAGGTCACATGACCGTTGTGGCCTATAGCAGCCATTCTATAACTCAGGAACTACTGGGCCGATCGTGACGAAAACACCACCAGTCGATTCAGCGTATGCGATTTCACCAGCCGTTTCGAATATGGTGACCTCAGGTGACCTCAGTGACCTTGGGAGGTCACATGACCGTTGTGGCCTATGGCAGCCATTCTATAACTCAGGAACTGCTGGGCCGATCGTGACGAAAACACCACCAGTCGATTCAGCGTATGCGATTTCATCAGCCGTTTCGAATATGGTGACCTCAGGTGACCTCGGTGACCTTGGGAGGTCACATGACCGATGTGGCCTATGGCAGCCATTCTATAACTCAGGAACTACTGAGCCGATCGCGACGAAAACACCACCAGTCGATTTAGCGTATGCGATTTCATCAGCCGCTTTGAATATGGTGACCTCAGGTGACCTCGATGACCTTGGGAGGTCACATGACCGATGTGGCCTATGGCAGCCATTCTATAACTCAGGAACTACTGGGCCGATCGCGACGAAAACACCACCAGTCGATTCACCGTATGCGATTTCATCAGCCGTTTTGAATATGGTGACCTCAGGTGACCTCGGTGACCTCAAAAGGTCAACTTAACATTTCGCCTATTGCAGCCATTCTATAACTCAGGACCTACTGGGCCGATCGTGACGAAAACACCACCAGTCGATTCAACGTATGCGATTTCATCAGCCGTTTCGAATATGGTGACCTCAGGTGACCTCAGTGACCTTGGGAGGTCACATGACCGTTGTGGCCTATGGCAGCCATTCTATAACTCAAGAACTGCTGGGCCGATCGTGACGAAAACACCACCAGTCGATTCAGCGTATGCGATTTCATCAGCCGTTTCGAATATGGTGACCTCAGGTGACCTCGGTGACCTTGAGAGGTCACATGACCGATGTGGCCTATGGCAGCCATTCTACAACTCAGGAACTACTGGGCCGATCGCGACGAAAACACCACCAGTCGATTCAGCGTATGCGATTTCATCAGCCGTTTCGAATATGGTGACCTCAGGTGACCTCGGTGACCTCAAAAGGTCAACTTAACGTTTTCGCCTCTTGCAGCCATTACATAACTCAGGAACTACTGGGCCGATCGCGACGAAAACACCACCAGTCGATTCAGCGTATGCGATTTCATCAGCCGTTTTGAATATGGTGACCTCAGGTGACCTCGGTGACCTTGGGAGGTCACATGACCGTTGTGGCCTATAGCAGCCATTCTATAACTCAGGAACTACTGGGCCGATCGCGACGAAAACACCACCAGTCGATTCAGCGTATGCGATTTCATCAGCCGTTTCGAATATGGTGACCTCAGGTGCCCTCGATGACCTTGGGAGGTCACATGACCGATGTGGCCTATGGCAGCCATTCTATAACTCAGGAACTGCTGGGCCGATCGTGACGAAAACACCACCAGTCGATTCAGCATATGCGATTTCATTAGCCGTTTCGAATATGGTGACCTCAGGTGACCTCGGTGACCTTGGGAGGTCACATGACCGATGTGGCCTATGGCAGCCATTCTATAACTCAGGAACTACTGGGCCGACCGCGACGATAACACCACCAGTCGAATCAGCGTATGCGACTTCATCAGCCGTTTCGAATATGGTGACCTCAGGTGACCTCGGTGACCTTGGGTCACATGACCGATGTGGCCTATGGCAGCCATTCTATAACTCAGGAACTACTGGGCCGATCGCGACGAAAACACCACCAGTCGATTCAGCGTATGCGATTTCATCAGCCGTTTCGAATATGGTGACCTCAGGTGACCTCACTAGAAGATATCATGAAGAACTCAACAGACTATCTTCATGTCAACATCAAAGTGTGTTCAAAACATTTTGAAAGAAGTCAGTATCATCCTGGCAGCACGAGGCTGAGAAGAGATGCAGCACCAACTCTCTTTGATGTGCCCAACCCTCCAAAGTCTCGAAATGAATATCATGATGCCATGCGTCACATGTGTTTGTGGATTACACGTAAATACAGAATGACATGCAATGAGTAGAACGATGTTTGAACTAACAGAACTATGGGAGCAGAACTATGGGATTGTGAACTATGGGACTCACGGGTTGTGAGTCACAACAGCTCGCCGTCACAACTTGTGACGGCGAGCTGCGACGGCCTACTGGTGACCGTCCGAGTGTGTGAAAAGCGCTGGGGGCGCCTGCACAACCCCGGTGCACTGTCACCGCGGGGAGACAAGCTACTAAAGCCCGGTTGGTAAGTGGTATTGGACGTGCGGTGAGTATATGTTACATATTTCCATCGAAATAGTTACCGGGTCACCGCCGATCAGCGTATTCCTGCGGGCGAGCCAGCCGCCGGCCGAGCGCATTCCTGTATGTCGATATTCTCGCCGCTAGATGGCAGGCGCGCACCAATGTCGCGGCTGGTAATGGCGCACGCGGGGAGTTTCCAATCCATATATAGTTATCCATGATTGAACTTTTGCAAAAGCGGCGCAAGACGCATTTGGTAGCACTACTTTTTTCCTTCACGAGAAAAAACTTCATGGAAATTTGCAGGCCTCATCTAAAAGGCAAAAATTGTGCTTGGTTCATTCGAATTCGACCTATTGAGGCCCGGTTTTGGAAAAATCAAGCCTCACTGAGTCAAATGGTGTGCTTTTTATGATATTTTAGTCCTCAGCTTAGGCGTCAGTCCAGCTCAAACCTCGGCCTCATTTGTATGGATCGTTATGGGGTGAAGGGATTTTTGCCGCCCACGTGACGTCACGGTAAAGGAATTCTGAGGCTCGTGAACGGGGGCTGACATTTAGCATTTAGAAGGCCCGTGAAGGGGGAGAACTTCCAAATGTCACGTGACTAATATGCCCTCCGGCGCCCTGTTTTCACCGGTGTCCCACAATTGCAATAGTGCGAAATATGGCACCACGACAAATCTAACGAACAAATGACGAAGTATGGCAGCCAGAGGCTGTTCTAAAACTAGACAATCGAAGTGTCTTGAAGATAAGTTGCAGCAGTAGCTAATCAGTGCTACTGCTGCACTGAGTTGCAGTGCGCACAATTGGTCCATGATAAACGTCTTTTTTCAATCGCGTTTAAAGAACAGTTTTATGCTGTTTCTCGTTTGGTTCCTTGGAGCCTTGCCTTAACCCGGTTTACATAGGGTTTGTTGCAAGCTTATATCTCCGTCCGTGATGTTGCAAAAGATGCCAATGGTGCTTAACAATTTACAAAATGATCCCCTCTAAATATTTGAAGACCACTGCAACGAAATTATCGCCAAATTAACGAGCTAGAGCCTCGTCAAATATGCTATGTAAACCGGGTTCTTGTCATACCATGGTGATTACGGTGGCTATGGAAAGGGTTCTCTTCATACCGTTTGGAAAGGTAATTTATTGCTCATAATCGTGATTGAAAAGTCAAAACTGAAACTGTGATAAGTTGATCATAAAGTTAAGCAACATATGTAGGCACCAAGGCGGTACATGAAATGATTACCTAATGTTTTGGAAAGGGCAAACAGTTACCTTATTTTAAAGGGACCCTCTTACCTTCAAAAAAGTTTATGAATTGGCATGAAAGTGATGTCGCTCGGTTCAGAAAGAGCGAAAACGAATATCTACCAAATTTCACCGAAAAATATTCACCGGTTTTCAAGATATTAGACTTTTACTTTTGTTTACTTTTTGGGATCTCCGCTGTTCCTAGCGACTTTATTTGGAAGCAATAGTTTGGCAGCTCAAAGTGCGGCACTTGTTGCGCGCAAAGCAGCATATACCACCGCGTGCTACAAAACGTTTTAGTCAAACATTTCAAAATCGTTAGATATCTGCGCTGACGTCACACATTCAGAGGGGTATTCCTACGCATTAGCCCCTCTGAATCAAAATGCTGCAATTTTGAAATTCAATATTTCCGATTTAAGGCATTTCTCGATGTTGTGAGTGCCGAAACCGGTAATTGTGAGCCGGGGACCCCATTTTGGCTATCTCAACTCAAATCTAATGTTAAGGTGGGAGGGTAAGTAATAGCACCCATCAGTGAGGTTATATCAATGAATATAAATCAATCAATCAAATCAATCTATATGTAATACCAGTTTAATTCAAAATGATAAATTCTTATTCCGCAAGTCGCTAGGCTACAAAAGATTGACGGAGACTGCAGACGAGATCCTTTTGATAAAGGCTGAGGGGGAGGCACAGCATAGGTATATCTTATTTTGATTTATGATGATTGTGGTGTGTTAATTATTAAGCATGGAGTGGTGCTGGCTCTAGCAGTAGGTATGAGTATCTGGCAGAGATCCGAGAGGTAGGTGCCAGGTAGGGTAGGTAGGTACCTAATATGCTGAACCACCGCAGACTGCTCACTGACTTATATCATCAGATCCAGGAGGCCTTTTGTGGGCGACGGTGAAATCAGGGCACCTGGGGCGATTTGATCATGACTTGTGAAATTCACACGTGACGTTTAGCATGTATTAGGCCCACGAAGGGGGAGAAGCTCCAAATATCACGTGACTAATATGCCCTCCGGCGCCCTGTTTTCACCGGCGTCCCTTTTGTGGCCTGGCCAGATAAGCAAAACAAAATGAAATTTTTAACCACTTACCAGTAGTGTAGAATTGTCTTGGTATGAGCTATATTATTTGGTTTGTCAATGCTCAGGAAATTAAGCTGGTACCATAATACCCTGATATCACTAATGCTCTTTTCAATATTCCTCAGACTCTGCTGACAGTTCACTCCAGGCAGTGACATTTCCTGAACTCTGCCATGGGGTGGATACCCGTGGCCGCCCCTGCAGGCCGCACATTGAGCGGCCTGCTGCAGACTCACTGCTGGCCTCGCTGTCTGCGTTTGGCCAGCTCGCGGCCGACGCCCTCGCTGGATCCCTCTCTGCCGACGGACGACATGGAGTCGCCGTCGCGGCGGAAGGCGTTCGCCGCGCACCTGAAGCGGACGCGGAGCCGGGCGCAGGCGCTGCCGCAGCCGCTGGTCGACGCCCTCCGCCGGTCCGTCGCTGAATTCTCGGTGGCCGACCTGCGGCGGGACGCCGCGGCACTCAGCTACCGGCTGGCGGCGCGGCGCCCGCCCACCGAGGACGCCGAGATGCAGGCGCGCGCGCAGGCTCTCGAGCAGCAGTACATCAGTCAGCGTGAGCAGGTCAACGAACAGAAGCTGAAACAGTTTGTCATCCAGCAGCTGCGGCAGCAGGTGTACCACTGGCAGCCGCTGGAGATGGCCTCGGCGTACGAGGCGGCCGTGTACGCGGTGGCGCGGCTGGCGCCCGAGTTCGCCTCGCTGCTCTACTGTTTCCGCCAGGTGGCGGCGCGTGACCCGGCGTTCGGGCCGCAGGCGGTGCTGAGTTATGGCAGCGCGGTGGGCGCGGCACTGTGGGCGGCCCGCCACCTGTGGCCCGACAAGGTGGCAGAGTTTGTGGGCATCGAGCGGCGGCGCTACCTGTCCGAGCTGTGCGCGCTGCTGGCGCACGGCGGCCGCGCCGACGCGCCGCCCGACCCGTCCGTCTTCCTGCGGCCGCTGCTGCCCTCATCCAGCCGGCTCCGGTACCCGCTGGTGGTGGCGGCGCACGCGCTCATGGAGCAGCCGTCGCAGAGCGAGCGGCTCGAGCTGGTGTGCTCGCTGTGGGACCGGACGGCGCCCGGCGGCCGGCTCATGCTGCTCGAGACGGGCACCAACGCCGGCTTCCTGCTGGTGCTGGAGGCCCGGGACCTGGTGCTGCGACTGGCCGCGCAGCGCGACGGCGCGCCAGTGCACGTGGAGGCGCCCTGTCCGCACGACGGCGAGTGTCCGCGCTTCAGCCGCAGCCTGACGCCGTGCCATTTCCGCGTGCCGTACTGGCCGCTGGCGCTGGGCGGCGCGGCGCCGGCCGAGGTGCGCCACGCGCCGCTCTCGTACGTGGTGATGCGGAAGGGCGCGCGGCCGGCCGGCGACCGTCAGTGGCCGCGCGTGGTGCAGCCGGTGCTCTGCCGACACAAGCACGTCATCTGCCGGCTCTGCACGGCGCGGTGAGTCCAGCAATAGGGTACAGGGGAGATCGGTATTCGGGTCAGGAGATGTTTTTTGTGCAATGGCGTGTGCCAAGAATTTTATGCCATCACTTAAATAATGTGCACCAAGTTGTTACCTATTTGTGGGTTGTAAAATGTCAAGTGATTCGGAAATTGAGTGTGGTTTATTATGTTCCAGTGGAGGTTCATCATGCTTTTCATTAACTGAATTTTTAAAACGGTACCTATGGCAGACGGTATTCAAGTAGGGTCTCCTAGCACCCCTTACACAGTGTCGACTCTCGGCGCTGCGCCGGGAGTGTGCTGACCTCCTCTCCGCCGGCAGGGGTGCGCTGGAGGAGGTGGTGGTCACCCGACGGCGGCACGGCCCGGAGCTCTACCAGTGCGCCAAAAAGGTCAGCTGGGGCGACACCATGCCGGTGGAGCTGCGGGACAGCCCGCCGGACAGGGCCGGGGACCGGTGAAGGTCGGCCGGGTTAGGGAGCCAGCTGGGGAAGGGGGCGGCTGGAGACGGACAGCAGGGACGGGTGCCGCTGGTCCCTATTTGAGCGGACACGTGAGCTTGCTATCTCTTGCGCTGTTTCCGAGTTTGGTGTGATGGTAATCCGTTTATCGTCGCATGTGTGCTGTGGTATACAAGAATGCTTCCTTAGTCGTACCGGTACTTGATGCACTGTTATTTGTGTACTTTTGCGTGCGTGTTCGTGTACTTGTGAAGGAAAGGTCATGGAAGAGTGAATCACACGTCATCATCATTGATCAATGATCTACGATCATCGTTATTATGTCGCCTCGCCATTTTTAGCAAGGATTGCAATCGCCTATTTTTGCCATTAATATAATTGAAGAAAGGTAGCTATGCTCGTTTTGGAGAGGCAATTTTAAAATGACTTCGTTTAGGCCTTTCGTTTAGACTTAGGCGGACACTAGTTATTAGAAAATTACTTTCGCTATTCAGTATTCGGTATCCCAATGTACCGTATTGGATGCTAAAACCCTCTTAATTTATCTCTTCGGTCATATACAACCATTCATGACACGTATTTTACTCTTTTTTCTTAATCCTGACTGGTAACTTTATCTCTAAGCTGCATACCAAGTGAACTCACGCGAATGCCGTCGTTGCGTTTACAAGGTAACACAAACTACTTAAATCGACGAGGAAGGCGATTAGTAATAAATCCGAGGCTCATCCATAGTCTCATAAGTACATTCATGTATTACTTTCAGCACAGGTACGGCCAATGATGTCCGGTTCGTACGTCACAACGGTACGTGTCACGCTCAGACAATCCGCACAGAGCGCTGGCCAATGTCATCAGCAACAGGCGTAACAGTCGCGATCTATAACAAATGAAAAATACGCGCGATATCATTTCAGGCGTCCTGAACTAACAGGATTCGTGTGAATTGCCTCAGTTAGCTAGCTATACATACAAATTTGTATTGTGCGGCGCCAGTGTGATAATAAAAAGCATTAGTCAGATCTCGTGACTTGTTACAATGCTTGCACAAGTTAGTCCACGGGCTGTGTTCATTGTTTGTCCGATGACGGTTTAAAATAATCAATTATCGACTAGGATAAAAGTTGAGAATGAGCCACAAACGGGTGACTTCCTTTGATATTGTGCATTGTGCGCCATGCATGTCAGAGAGTGCCTAATGCCTGACGACGGCCCTGCCTGGGGCGAACTGCAACCCAAGCCGGCAGCTCATTTGGGCGTGCTACATCAACGCGCATACAAACATTCCGTTACATAGTGGCTGAACCACCAACGTACGCCGAAAAATAGCTCATTCGACACAGCAAGAAATAAAAGCTAGGCTTATTTCGAACATCGGTACACAGTCTACATTTTGATATATTCCGGTCGACTCGTGCAGCTGACGACCACATGTCGGTAGCGAGCGGCGCTACACGACTACTCCACACGCACGTGACAGGGGGTTAGCCGTGCTGGCGACCGGCGGCTTTCTGGGCGGTGAAGAAGCGGCGAGAGGTCGGGGACGCGGTACACTACAGACGAACCGCCGGCAGCCACTGTGCTGTGACCTCGAACACTTTGTGAAAGGTGCAGGCAGATGACTAGACACGCTTTAACCATAGAATCTCTGCAGTCTGCACCATCTCTGCACCGTTGCCCGGTTCAACGCGCTACGTCTCGCGGGTCTGGGTCATTCACAAGGAACAGGACAGCGGTGCTTTGGTCAGTTTGGGGACCGACCTGCTACATCTCGCACAGTGTGCGTGCAGACACTCGTGGCTATCTCTCAATCTTCCATTCAAAACATCGTGCTTTTTTCCGTGCCCGAGAGTTTCGTCTTTATATCACCACCAGCCACCAATTGTCAAGGGAAGAAAGAAGTGCTCATTCTACATATATGTTCGCCCACTCACCCTTTCACTCTTTCTTATCCCCCTTCTCTTCGTTCCTTTCTCACATCCCTCTTCCCATCTCTACCTCTCCCTCTCACGAGGGGCGCGCGCGCCGCGCCGCCCGGCCGTCGTTGAGCGTCACGCGCACCTTGACCTCCCCCTGCTCTGCCTCCCCGTCGCCGCTCTCCTCCTGCTCCTCCTGTTCGAGGAGCCGCTGCTCGGCGCCGCCGGGGCCCGGGCTGGGCGGCATCATGGACTGGTACCAGTCGCGGTTGTCCTCCAGCGTGTCCAGGATGTGCTGCGCGTCCGGGTACACCAGGTCGGCCCACGTCTCCCACAGCGGGTGCACGATGTAGTCAATAAAACCCACCTGAAGGCGGAGGGACGGTGAAGAGGAGGTGAAGTCAGCATGTGGACTAGCATTGAAACTTTGGTGCGCTTTCATATTAATATTGCATCCTGTCATGTTCAGTTCAGCTCTGTGTCAGTTCATGAGTTAACCGATTACGGAGCCAGTATTACGAAGTCGACGGCTCACTCTCACCTGGGACTTTTCGACGGTGGCGTTGTATCTGTCGCACATGGGCGATATGTCGAGGCCGTTCTCTCGCTCGCGGTCTCCCTGGTGGAAGAACTCCTCCATGACGAGAGCCACCCAGCGCCGGTAGGTCTCCAGCGGCCGGGTGGGCCCGCTCAGGTCCGAGCAGTGCACCATGCTCTGCAGCACCTGGGGACGCGGAAGTCACAGTTGGGTCAACAGAGGTTACAACGAGGTAGAGCAGGGATCACAGCGAGTTTCGCAGAAAGGGTGGACGTATGTCAGAGCAAGGATCACAGAGCAAGGGTCACGGCGAGGCCAGTGTAGGTTACAGGCACAACAAAGGTAGGAAGGTTACCTGAGTTTATTGAAGAGCTATGAGATCAGACTAGGCTATAAGTGCTGCACAATTATAGCCCATCGCTAACTGGACTTAAAATTGGCATATTTATTATTGCTCATATCAGTATGAAGAGATCGTTACAAATATTTATCGCGGTACCAGTTGTACTAGCAGGACGGAAGGACTGCCGGCTACTCTGGGACGCGGATTCTGTACCTGAATGCGGTCGTTGTAGTTGTCGAGCAGCAGCAGTCCCGAGCCGGCCACCTTCTGCGTCTCCACCATCGTCTTCAGGTCGGCCAGCAGGCTCATGTGCTTGGACATGTCCGTCGCCAGAACCTGGACAGCGGGGAGGTTGGTAAATTGTACCCTTCGGTGGTTACGACGTCTTGAAGAACGGCATGGTGGCTGATTTACAGCCGATGGGGTCTTAGTTAGTAGTAACACAGATGAACAGGTGCGATCGACATGTATCTTGGATGCTATTTGTGGCACATGTGGAATTTATCTCAAATGGAATGTGCTTGGTGCGTTTTCGTGGGCTCATCGCGTTGGTAGCAGCATTTGACGTTAAAACCCCTTCAAAGCATTGCTAAGTGCGTTTGCTAATTGTGAACTGACCATGTCGATGACCATTTTGCGGAGCGACAGCCGCTGTTTCCTGGATAGGCTGGCGAAGATGTCGCAGTTGTCGTTCTGCAGCAGTTTGAAGGCCACGGCCAGGTGGTGGTTCTCCAGCACCGACTCGTCGTTATACATCAGCGCCAGCTCAGAGCCTGCACTCACAAACGCACCCGGCAGAAATGTCAGTTTAATTATGTTAACTTTATATACCGGTCTTGCACTTAAAGCATGGGTCAATTGACCACTGTCACCACTCACCTTTCTACTTTCAATTTTTTCTTGTCTATCTTTATCGCTCAGTCTGACATAGAGCGTCTATCGTTATCTGTCCTGACGTCAAACATGTGCGAGAAACCACCGCATCAGCCACCAGCTTCGAAGACGCTAGTCCACACGAGGCTATTGACCCACAGATGTCTGGCGTTCAGCGCCTTATGCATGCTGTGCCGCATGACACAATAGTTACCACAACAGCCCACAGATGTCCCTGGCGTCTAGCGCCTGATACATGCTGTGCCGCACCACTTTGGCAGCTGGTTATATAGCCCACAGATGTCTCTGGCGTCTAGCGCCTTATGCATGCTGTGCCGCATGACACGATAGTTGCCACAAAAGCCCACAGATGTCCCTTGCGTCTAGCGCCTGATACATGCTGTGACGCACCACTTGGTAGTTGGTTATATAGCCCACAGGTGTCTCTGGCGTCTAGCGCCTGCTGCATGCTGTGCCGCATGGCACGATAGTTGTCAATACGGCCCACAGATGTCTCTGGCGTCTGGCGCTGACAAATGCTGTGCCGCATGACACGATAGTTGTCAATACGGCCCACAGATGTCTCTGGCGTCTGGCGCCTGACGCATGCTGTGCCGCATGACACGATAGGTGCCACATCAGCCCACGGAGACGGACGCACCCCCTTCATAGCGGCCACGGACGGACAGTTGAAGCCGAACTCACTGGTATTGACCAGGTACTGGTTGGTGAGGCCCGGGTGATCCACGTCGTGGATGGCCGACGCGAACAGAGCGGCCAGCTCCTCGAGCGCCGTGAACACGGTCTCCAGGGCCGGCGAGCGGAGCAGCACGCTGGTCGACTGCACCACGTCGGCCGCGTGCGTCCGGTTGTGGTAGGATACCTCGCGCAGGTAGTGGCTTTCCAGCGTCAGCATGAACGTGACGAACGTGCTCGACGGTATCTTGAAGGTGGCCAGCAGGTCGCGGTCCTGCGGAGCCAGCCAGACTTTTCACAGAAAGGTTGGAAGGAAGTGATATACAGAGTTTGGTGTTTGTACTGTTCATGAACAGTTCGTGAACAATGTTTGTTTGTTTGTTTATTTGATAGTTTACGAATTTTGGCATTCAAGGTCACATGTTCACCAACGATTCTCTGTTCACAGTTCGTGAACGTTCATGAACGCAGGGGCGCGGGAACTACTTTCCAACTGGGGGGGCACACCATAATAGAGATCAACCTAGGGTACCCCCAAATCTAGTTTTCTCACCGGTTTTAGGCCACTTGTTTTTCATCCCTCGGCTTTTTCAACAAAAAAGAAAACATTTGCAAAAAAAGTGTGGTATTCCGTCTCAAAGCTGTGGGGGCACTGCCCCCACGGCCCCAGAGTTGGGGGGGCAAGCTGCCCCCACTGCCCCCCCGGCTCCCGCGCCTATGCATGAACGTTCATGAACAAGTCATCATTTCTGATATCTCTCGAGCAATTGTTATCATACGGTGCTGACATGACTGCAGGCATAGGGTGAAGTCGTATAAGAGTACGCACTTAGTGGATTTCTTGCTCTCATTTGTTTAATATTTGAAAGAAAGAAATTGCAAATAGGGAATATTAAAGTTCATTGAATTAGCCATCAACCCATGGGGCAACGATCCTTCAACGTAAATGGAAGTGGTCTAAAACTGACATTTTCTGAACCGCTGCAGTTGCGTACTCTTACCATATGGGGTGTGTAAGAGTACGCACGCCAGGCGGGTGGAGTACGCAAGCATATGAACACACACTTATGCAGCTTGTACTGTCCAAATGCTTAACTTCAAACTCAGAAGGCATTTAAGTTAATTCTAGTATCCAAAAAGAAAAACATAAAATAAATCTTTCAAGTCTATAAATCAGGAAATAATCATGTCGTGTGTTTCTTTAAAAAAATGCACAATCAAAAGGGAAAATAACTCGTATTTGGAAGAATTTCGGGTACGCATCTGCATCACAGTGCTCCATTGATGATATACCTACAAAACAAGCGTCATTGAGCGATAGATTAATAATTTTATATTTCTGTATATTCGATTTAATGTATAATTCTGCGTACTCTTACCCTCCTGAACAGTGCGTCCTCTTACCGTACATGCAATTCGCGCACAAAACAACCCCGAAACGTTGTGCAAAACTTCGCAAACAGAATATTGCACAGCACAGTATTTCCCCAGATAACCTCACAAGTTTCCCACAACAATCACGGAAATGTACCTTATCTCAACTGCCAAGTATCAAAATTATTGTACCATATCATAATAATATCATAACGCTCGAAAATAATATTCATCGCCTTAAACTCAACAGCGTCGCCGCTCAACGCCCACGTTCCGTTGGTGACAAGCACGCACTGGCGGCTTCATGTCACTTCATGAACTCGACAAACCCGCGTTGCTAAGCAACCGAAACAGCTGATGCGTACTCTTATCGCCCGCGTACTCTTACCCGCCCTTACCCTAATGCATATTCTACATGTGAAAAAATGCACCAGTCCATAGATAACAGTAGAACTGGATTTGACACGAACACTGCCTATCTGCAGTAGGGGACCCAAAAATGTCAATGATATCGATCAGCCTCGGAACGCAACCGCATGTCTCAGAGGCATGCGGTTTTCTGCTATGAGTAGCCCCATTGGCCCCGCTTCATTCACTACTATTGGCTATTCATGTGTGAGGTGCCCACAAGTCGGAATCACGTGCCTCGTGGGTGGTGTCCACAGGGGCCTTTTCGCCTCTCCTCTGAAATGAACGGTCCAATCCCAAGTAAAATATACGTGTATATATCGCAGTTTTCATTAATATATATTTGCGAAATTTATTTCCTGAATATATAGCACTAACTGCGCCACTTCATGCAATCAGGCCTGTGTATTGGAAGTTATATTTTTCCGACATATATTAAATAACCAGCATGTTTAGATAAACAACCAAAAATAATTATACAGCCAGCATGTCCAGTATGCTCAGCTCATCTCTGTTTGGGCCTTACCAGCCTGCATGCGGCTCTTAGAATCACGTCGTAGGGCACCTGTGATCCGTGTGCCTTGGTGACACCGGGAGGCCAACCTTGCGGGGCTAACAGTGTATCAATTGTTCAGTTGACTTGCCTTTTTCAGCCAGTCTGCCCTTTTCCATACTTCAAAGCGTGCTGACGGTCGCTCATGGCCTCCTGCTTGAGGCAGCCAGCTGAATAGTCTTAGAGGCGCGTGGGGGCATCTGACGGCCCTCGCCACCGTCACTAAACCGTGCTGCCTCACGTCACTGATTGGAGGGAAGATGAGACCAAAGATGCGGCGCCGCACCATCACCAGCGTCGGGGATCGCATCAAAACGTGATTCAGACAACCGGTCTCTTGCAGGCACTTCAATGCGCCATTGCAGTTCATGTTGTATTCGTAGTCGTAACATTCGATGAATTCCGGTGACGGATGAACAGATACTGTGCAAAGCCAGGTCAGTGTCCTCGGTCACTCTTGGTTGGTTCCCACTGCGTCCGCCCTTTTCTAGCAGCGCGCGAGGCGGTGGAAGACGCTCCTCCATCATTGTGAGGTACCAGCCAGCTAACGGACAGGGCAGTGGCGCAGGCACGTGGGTCTCCTATCGCTGTTCAGCATATATTATGACAATGTGGTCAGATACATCCTCTTGGGACTTGGATGAGAGCTGCTTTGAAGCTGCAGAAACGTCTGTGGAAAGCTGCTCCAGGCGCTCATTCCCCGGTAACCGCTTTGGGGTGGTACCTATCCACAGTGCAGAATCGGCGTGCAATCACTCGCTTCAACTCCAACAGACAAGTTGAAATCAAGATTACATGATGCGTTCTCTGTGCCGTGAGCCCCCCCATCTGCAGCTTTCAGATGACCAACTGCACGTCGGTGCAGTGCTGACCAGCACGAGGAACGATCAGCCCCGTTCCGTACCCTGAGCAGAGAGAGCCAGCGTCGCCTCACAGCTCGCGTGATTTGTCTCCCAACAGCACCAGTAAGGCTTCCGTACCTTCGTTGGTGATTTTCTGTTCTGAGTCCACTGGAAGTACCAACTGGATAAGTCCAGATCGTACATACATCCCGCCACAGCCTATCTGCTGGTGAGGGATGAGCTTTTGAACCACGGTCAGTGGTCACGTAGATCAGGCTAGTGAAGACGACGCGCTCCACTAACTCAGATTATAGGCGTTGATAGGCGCGGTCGATCAGTATGAGTAAGAAAGACTTTACTTGTCTTACTTCGGAAAGCTTTTTGGTCACAATTCTACTGTTATCTATGACCAGTCACATCTCAAGCACATGGAATCGTGATTCATAATTATTCTTGCAACGCTGAGGCTTAGATTGTGCATCTAAGACCTTGCATGACGTCATATAAGACGCCACTAAGGTTGTTTGGTGCAGTAGGAGCTTTTCGCTAATAACTTCCGATCAAATTGAGCTAGCGAGTCGGTTGAGCCATCACTTGACTCAGAAAGAACTGCCACATCGAATGATATGCAACATGACATCCTCCATGCAGCTTTGTGACCCGAGTGGCTTTGACCTGACCTTGACCTGAGGTCAACATCCTAAAAAGACCTAATCAAAACAGAAAGTGTATCATTCGACGCGCCTGGCCACGACGAGCACGATGGTGCCAAAATCGCGGCTCTGCCACCATTTGTGGCGAAGTTATTCACCAAAAACCAAACCCCTACTTTATGACACTTGACCTGACCTCAGGGGTCACCGGTTGGTGTAAGACCTTGAAATCGGATACCAATCGCTGTGGTTCGCAAAGACGCACACGCTGGCTTTTTCCGCAAGGTTCTATCTAAATTAGGAGCGAAATGGCTAAGCAGGGGGTCTTATCTACCCCCTCTTTACCGTGTTCGCGAACAGTTCATGAACGTTCGCGAACTGTTCGTTGTTTGTTTACCAAAATTTGACCGATGACGTCACTTGTTCGCGAACACATTTGTTCGTGAACAGTTTGTTCATGTTTGTTTATTTGAAAAATTAAACAAACACCAAACCCTGGTGATATATACTCGGAGGTAGAGCTCTCGTAGAGCTATGAAGTCTGTAAGTGATATATTAATGTCTGAGCTATACGCACAATACATATTGTGGTGGGACGCAAAGTTCGGATGGTTGCCACTTGTTCGCACACTCACCATGAAGATGTTGTACATGACGCAAGTGAGTGGCTGGTTGTTGGATAGCTCGGCGATCCGGAATATATCCACATTCCACTTGTCGAGATCCTCCAACGCCTAGAAAAGAAAAGAAAAACGCCACACCACGGTAGGCGGTCAATGTTCTCAGAAAGCTGGGATACCGCGCTGGTCAGAACAATTATGTCGATAGCTCTTTTACTGGAAAGAGCAGGGTATCAAGTGCTACATATTTATCGTGAACTACTAATTCACTACGCTCATACGAATGTCATTCGAATGTCCACCTAAAAAAACGGCGTCTAAAAAACGTTCTTTGTTTTATTTAGCGTGCTACCACTGTTCCAACCACTAAGCCTCCGCTCATCCCCGCTGGCGCGCGCCGACCCACCTTTTCGAGTTCCTCTTCATGCTCCGTGTGCACGCCCAGTCTGGGCACGGTGTCGGTGGCCCGGCCCACGGGCCGCTGTAGGCCCGGGATGCAGTTCATCGTGTCACCGCTGGAGGGCAGGGCGGCGGCGGAGCGCTGCGCCGCACGGCCCGGCCCGTCCGGCGCCTCCACTGACTGGTTCATGTCCATCTCCTGGCGCGGGTCTGCGGCGGCCCGCCAGCGGCGAGACGTCAGCGGTAAACGTGTTATTGCGCCTCGTTGGCACCGCGTCTCGCGGCTTGTGGTTTGTGCCTAGCTGCCCGGGGCATGCGTCGACCCGGGTCCGAGGGCGGGAGGGGGGGGGGGGGCGAGGGGAGAGCGTACGGGCGTCGCCGCAGGTTCAGCCGCTGCCCTTGCCGCTGTTTAGCCATTGTGTATGTCGACTGTTGATGGGAGGGGAGGGATAGCGTTTCCTCTCGAGAGCGCCGAGTCAAGAGAACGTCTGTGACTCTGGATAATTCGCTGTGTTGTCGTTACATGATGTAGTGTTGCCGCTGGTAGCGACTGTATGGTATGATTTTTTTTTTGTTTTGATTACTGAATCGTGTGTGAGACAATAAAGCGATTTGAATTTATAAAAAAGAGACGTCAGCGGTGGACAGCGCACTCGTACCCTCCCAGCACGGCGGACATGGCAAAGTGTGGCTAATTTTTGACGGTTTGGTCATCAATACGCTACACAGAGTTAGCTGACAAAAGCTGTGTATTGTGTAATTCATAGTTGCTAGGCGCGATACGCGGAAATCTACGTCAATTTTACTACAAATATTAACCATACAAAAATAAAGCTCTGGACATTTCACACATTTCGTTAGGAGACCATGCCAGAAGTCAGCCGGCTGAATGACATTGGTAGCGCATGTGAGACTTCTTACCCAAGAATGTGGAGCAGATGTACTCGGAGATCTGGTTGCCACTTCTGCTCGACTCGGAAAACTGACTCAGCTCCTTGTTCAGCATCCGTTTGAACTGGAATACACAGATAGTATATTAATTCACAATATACTCGTCAAAACACTTGTTTGTCTAGTTACGTTTTCTTATAGTTATGTGCCAAAATTATGAGGTCTACACGCTGTACAGCTAGTGTCGGCATACCAAACACATACAGTCAGTCAGACAAAGACAAACAAACACCGAGACGGACAGATAAACAGACCGACAGACGAACAGACCGACAGACAGACGGTCAGACAGACAGACAGACAGACAGACAGACAGACGAACAGACCGACAGGCGGTCAGAACGACAAACAGAGTTAGGCCTACATTACACACCTTGCTGGTGGCCATGTCGGAGACGGATCGGTGCGTCTGCACCGTCTCCAGCTGGTCCAGACACCAGTCTAGCTCCTCCAGCGTCTCCGTCGATAGGCGGACGAACCCCTCGTCTGCGGGGACGCGCCGGCGGGCGGCAGATTTAGATGCTGTTTTTCATTCACTTATGGTAATTGACATGACAGTTTATGATAATGTTAAACACGGCCAGTTACATGGATAAGATGTTATAGAATTAATATAAGATGAGTAGATAAGCCACCCTACATGGTCGGGCCATTTTAGGATAAAACAGACCAGGGTCGGCAATGTCTTTTCCCCCAGTCCTGCCTGTCCTCTAAGTCCCCTTACATATCTATGTACAGACTCAGTTATAGTACCACCCAGGTCTGATGGAATTGAATAGGTTTGGGAAGAATATGAACGATACAATGCCGGGCCGGGTAGTAATTAACCTCAAACTGCTACTTATTAGATCCATGTTATTAGTATCTGTATAATAGTTTGTAAAATGTTTATTAGGCAAGCATGAAGCTATGTAATTACATTGAAGCACGCTGAATCGCAGTAAAAACAGATAACCCATTACAAGAGCACGTTGCTTGGCACTTCTCGAATGTCAGAGATGATATTTTGTTATGTTGATCAAGACAGCCCATATTCAGCCCAGATTCAGCCCGGATTCAGCCCAGATTCGGGACACCTCCGATCAAGCTGAAACTCACACACAATGTAGGCCATGACATGCCCAATCCACAGTCCAAATCATTTGGTGGCACTCCCAGCCGTTTGACCTACAGAGGTCAGCAAAGGTCACGTGGCCCAAATTTGCACAGCAGATTGTGGCCCACCCAGTAGAGCTAGAGCGCTAAAAATGGCACCAATCGACTCGCCGGCATCTAATCTTACTTTCCCAACACTCATTTGACCTCTCAAGGTCATGCGATGACCTAAGGTCATTTGTGGGCTATGTCGAAAATACACTTGCACAGCAGTTTTCGAGTAGATGGATTGACCGAATTCCAAATCAAAGCACATCATCGGGTAGCCCATAGGCCGTAGTAACTTTCCTTAAAAACCGCTTTTCGATATGTGACCCCGTTTGACCTCGGCAGGTCAAAATGTGCAAATAAACGACACTCAATACGTCGCAGCCCGGATTCAGCCCAGATTCAAGACACCTCCGATCAAGCTGAAACTCGCACACAATGTAGGCCATGACATGCCCAATCCACAGTCCAAGTCATTCGGTGGCACTTCCAGCCGTTTGACCTACAGAGGTCAGCAAAGGTCACGTTGCCCAAATTTGCACAGCAGATTGTGGCCCACCCAGTAAAGCTAGAGCGCTAAAAATGGCACCAATCGACTCGCCAGCATCTAATCTTACTTTCCCAACACTCATTTGACCTCTCAAGGTCATGCGATGACCTAAGGTCATTTGTGGGCTATGTCGAAAATACACTTGCACAGCAGTTTTCGAGTAGAGGGATTGACCGAATTCCAAATCAAAGCACATCATCGGGTACCCCATAGGCCGTAGTAACTTTCCTTAAAAACCGCTTTTCGATATGTGACCCCGTTTGATCTCGGCAGGTCAAAATGTGTCAATAAACGACACTCAATACGTCACAGCCCGGATTCAGCCCAGATTCGGGACACCTCCGATCAAGCTGAAACTCGCACACAATGTAGGCCATGACATGCCCAATCCACAGTCCAAGTCATTCGGTGGCACTCCCAGCCGTTTGACCTACAGAGGTCAGCAAAGGTCACGTGGCCCAAATTTGCACAGCAGATTGTGGCCCACCCAGTAGAGCTAGAGCGCTAAAAATGGCACCAATCGACTCGCCAGCATCTAATCTTACTTTCCCAACACTCATTTGACCTCTCAAGGTCATGCGATGACCTAAGGTCATTTGTGGGCTATGTCGAAAATACACTTGCACAGCAGTTTTCGAGTGGAGGGATTGACCGAATTCCAAATCAAAGCACATCATCGGGTAGCCCATAGGCGGTAGTAACTTTCCTTAAAAACCGCTTTCCGATATGTGACCCCGTTTGACCTCGGCAGGTCAAAATGTGCAAATAAACGACACTCAATACGTCGCAGCCCGGATTCAGCCCAGATTCGGGACACCTCCGATCAAGCTGAAACTCGCACACAATGTAGGCCATGACATGCCCAATCCACAGTCCAAGTCATTCGGTGGCACTCCAGCCGTTTGACCTACAGAGGTCAGTAAATGTCACGTGGCCCAAATTTGCACAGCAGATTGTGGCTCACCCAGTAGAGCTAGAGCGCTACAAATGGCACCAATCGACTCGCCAGCATCTAATCTTACTTTCCCAACACTCAGTTAACCTCTCAAGGTCATGCCATGACCTAAGGTCATTTGTAAGCTATGTCGAAAATACACTTGCACAGCAGTTTTCGAGTAGAGGGATTAACCGAATTCCAAATCAAAGCACATCATCGGGTAGCCCATAGGCCGTAGTAACTTTCCTTAAAAACCGCTTTTCGATATGTGACCCGTTTGACCTCGGCAGGTCAAAATGTGCAAATAAACGACACTCAATACGTCGCAGCCCGGATTCAGCCCAGATTCGGGACACCTCCGATCAAGCTGAAACTCGCACGAAATGTAGGCCATGACATGCCCAATCCACAGTCCAAGTCATTCGGTGGCACTCCCAGCCATTTTACATACAGAGGTCAGTAAAGGTCACGTGGCCCAAATTTGCACGGCAGATTGTGGCCCACCCAGTAGAGCTAGAGCGCTAAAAATGGCACCAATCGACTCGCCAGCATCTAATCTTACTTTCCCAACACTCATTTGACCTCTCAAGGTCATGCGATGACCTAAGGTCATTTGTGGGCTATGTCGAAAATACACTTGCACAGCAGTTTTCGAGTAGATGGATTGACTGAATCCCAAATCAAAACACATCATTGGGTAGCCCATAGGTCGTAGTAACTTTCCTTAAAAACCGCTTTTCGATATGTGACCCCGTTTGACCTCGGCAGGTCAAAATGTGCAAATAAACGACACTCAAATACGTCGCAGCCCGGATTCAGCCCAGATTCGGGATACCTCTGATCAAGCTGAAAATCGCACACAATGTAGGTCCTGACATGCCCAATCCACAGTCCGAGTCATTCGGTGGCACTCCCAGCCGTTTGACCTACAGAGGTCAGCAAATGTCACGTGGCCCAAATTTGCACAGCAGATTGTGGCCCACCCAGTAGAGCTAGAGCGCCAAAAAGGCACCAATCGACTCGCCAGCATCTAATCTTACTTTCCCAACACCCATTTGACCTCTCAAGGTCATGTGATGACCTAAGGTCATTTGTGGGCTATGTCGAAAATACACTTGCACAGCAGTTTTCGAGTAGAGGGATTGACCGAATTACAAATCAAAGCACATCATCGGGTAGCCCATAGGCCGTAGTAACTTTCCTTAAAAACCGCTTCTCGATATGTGACCCCGTTTGACCTCGGCAGGTCAAAATGTGCAAATAAACGACACTCAATGCGTCGCAGCCCGGATTCAGCCCAGATTCGGGACACCTCCGATCAAGCTGAAACTCGTACACAATGTAGGCCATGACATGCCCAATTCACAGTCCAAGTCATTCGGTGGCACTCCAGCCGTTTGACCTACAGAGGTCAGCAAAGGTCACGTGGCCCAAATTTGCACAGCAGATTGTGGCCCACCCAGTAGAGCTAAAGCGCTAAAAATGGCACCAATCGACTCGCCAGCATCTAATATTACTTTCCCAACACTCATTTGACCTCTCAAGGTCATGCGATGACCTAAGGTCATTTGTGGTCACATATCGAGAAGCAGTTTGCAAGGAAAGTTACTACGGCCTATGGGCTACCCGATGATGTGCTTTGATTCGGAATTCGGTCAATCCCTCTACTCGAAAACTGCTGTGCAAGTGTATTTTCGACATAGCCCACAAATGACCTTAGGTCATCGCATGACCTTAAGAGGTCAAATGAGTGTTGGGAAAGTAAGATTAGATGCTGGCGAGTCGATTGGTGCCATTTTTAGCGCTCTAGCTCTACTGGGTGGGCCACAATCTGTTGTGCAAATTTGGACCACGTGACATTTGCTGACCTCTGTAGGTCAAACGGGTAGGAGTGCCACCGAATGACTTGGACTGTGGATTGGGCATGTCATGGCCTACATTGTGTGCGAGTTTCAGCTTGATCGGAGGTGTCCCGAATCTGGGCTGAATCCGGGCTGCGACGTATTGAGTGTCGTTTATTGGCACCTTTTGACCTGCCGAGATCAAACGGGGTCACATATCGAAAAGCGGTTTTTAAGGAAAGTTACTACGGCCTATGGGCTACCCGATGATGTGCTTTGATTTGGAATTCGGTCAATCCATCTACTCGAAAACTGCTGTGCAAGTGTATTTTCGACATAGCCCAAAAATGACCTTAGGTCATCGCATGACCTTGAGAGGTCAAATGAGTGTTGGGAAAGTAAGATTAGATGCTGGCGAGTCGATTGGTGCCATTTTTAGCGCTCTAGCTTTACTGGGTGGGCCACAATCTGCTGTGCAAATTTGGGCAACGTGACCTTTGCTGATCTCTGTAGGTCAAACGGCTGGGAGTGCCACCGAATGACTTAGACTGTAGATTGGGCATGTCATGGCCTACATTGTGTGCGAGTTTCAGCTTGATCGGAGGTGTCTTGAATCTGGGCTGAATCCGGGCTGCGACGTATTGAGTGTCGTTTATTTGCACATTTTGACCTGCCGAGGTCAAACGGGGTCACATATCGAAAAGCGGTTTTTAAGGCAAGTTATTACGGCCTATGGGCTACCCGATGATGTGCTTTGATTTGGAATTCGGTCAATCCATCTACTCGAAAACTGCTGTGCAATTGTGTTTTCGACATAGCCCACAAATGACCTTAGGTCATCGCATGACCTTGAGAGGTCAAATGAGTGTTGGGGAAGTAAGATTAGATGCTGGCGAGTCGATTGGTGCCATTTTGAGCGCTCTAGCTTTACTGGGTGGGCCACAATCTGCTGTGCAAATTTGGGCAACGTGACCTTTGCTGACCTCTGTAGGTCAAACGGCTGGGAGTGCAACCGAATGACTTGGACTGTGGATTGGGCATGTCATGGCCTACATTGTGTGCGAGTTTCAGCTTGATCGGAGGTGTCTTGAATCTGGGCTGAATCCGGGCTGCGACGTATTGAGTGTCGTTTATTTGCACATTTTGACCTGCCGAGGTCAAACGGGGTCACATATCGAAAAGCACTTTTTAAGGAAAGTTACTACGGCCTATGGGCTACCCGATGATGTGCTTTGATTTGGAATTCGGTCAATCCATCTACTCGAAAACTGCTGTGCAAGTGTATTTTCGACATAGCCCACAAATGACCTTAGGTCATCGCATGACATTGAGAGGTCAAATGAGTGTTGGGAAAGTAAGATTAGATGCCGGCGAGTCGATTGGTGCCATTTTTAGCGCTCTAGCTCTACTGGGTGGGCCACAATCTGCTGTGCAAGTTTGGGCCACGTGACCTTTGCTGACCTCTGTAGGTCAAACGGCTGGGAGTGCCACCGAATGACTTGGACTGTGGATTGGGCATGTCATGGCCTACATTGTGTGCGAGTTTCAGCTTGATCGGAGGTGTCCCGAATCTGGGCTGAATCCGGGCTGAATCTGGGCTGAATATGGGCTGTCTTGACGGACATTATTTTGTTCACTATCGTCCGAAGTTGTATCACGTATGTAATCGAGCTGAATGGCCGACAGATGAAACGCGTTTAATGGCGATCAAGCCCGGGTACTTAATTGCTAATGTTAATTAAAAATAATTGTCACATCATTTTCGTTTTTTTTTTTTTTGGCACCGATATCGTGTCTGGATACAAGCACCCATTCGTCCAGCAGAAGCACAGTCGATGATTGGAAAATACAGACACCTTTGAATAATCAGTGATTTTTCACGCATCATACTACATACATTACATCATACACATACTACGCATATCAGGAGTACAATACACCGATGTAACCTCCATGTATGCAATTGCAACTTCTGCTGATCTGGCTCACCTTTCGGTAGCATAGGCCGCGGCTGGGGCGACGGCTGACCGGGAGATGCGTTACTGGACCTCTTGGATCTGTTGGTAACAGAGGCATCTCAACGAATGCACCTATCGATATCAAGGCCAACGTCGTCGCGTCGAATAGGTAAATTGACGTTGCCGTTATTGAAATAGGTGAAATACCTACCAAGGTAAAAAGACAGCTGGATTGTTATGTATTGTTATTACACCTTTTTGCACCTTAAATAGGCATCTTTGCATTCAATTTCGGCGAACTGCATTCAATTTTAGCGATCTTTCATTTGCTTCAAATAGGGGCATCTTGTTTCGTCATATGGGCTCTTCTATGACATCGGGCACACCACATCGATATCAGTCATCATTTCGGCAAGGTTAAATGTAACAGCAGCATTTGTCCTGATTAAGTCTTTTCCAATGGATTCTAGTTTTCTTATCGCCTTCTTTTCTTGGATCGATACTCTACTGAAGATAGAATTCATGATAGCAAGTAAGAACACATTCCAAGTTACATACATTTTTTTCGGACCGGTTTCGATATACTCCCTATATCATCCTCAGCGAGACTATGTTGCGCAAGATACAATTATAAGTTAGGACATTGCAACATGACAAAGACGTTAAATATTAGGTCACCATATTGGTAGATATAACAGTGCAAAATTATAGAATACCAGTGAAACAATTATACACTACAGATGACGAAATTCGATTCAAACTTTAAGTGACACAGCGACACAAAAATAACAATGGTACACGTGAAAGACGAAACATGGTGACTTTTGGAAAAGGATCACACAGAATCTAGCACTAGCTATTTTACACAAGTCTGGGGCCATCAAACAAACTAAGGTATACTTTAAATTTGTACTGGCGGTTGATGTCTGGGTTCCTGTGTCTGATGTAGGCTCCTTCTAGCGCACCCAGACGTCTCAGGTTGGTCGTTGAGCAGAGGATAGTGGTGCTCTCTTCTAACTGTTTTTTAGTCAAGGGATCCGCGTGGTGTTCATCGTTATGCTGTTCTGGTGCTCCTTTGTATTTGTGTCCTTGTAGTCGGTGATCTAGAGTATCCACTGTTTTGCCGATGTAAGCGTTACCAGGCTGGAGTGCGCATCCCTCCTTGTTACATTTATACTGGTAAACAACATTGGTCTGTGACAGTGGAGCCTTGTCTCTTGTTAGGTTGTTGGTCATGACTAGGGATCTTGTTTTTGGTGACATGTAGTAAATTCGTAGGTCGATCTTGTCGTTTTGTTGGGCGGGCTTACAGTTTCGGTGAACGATGGTTCGGAGGCCGCTCTCGTCTGTTCTGTACGCCTGGGACATTTGGTTTTTGTAGTATAGTACGTGGGTCGTGCCTGTCACCCTGCGTTCACTGTCGTTTTCTTGTCCGATGTGTTTCGCCATTGTTTTCTTTGTTACTCTGTCAATCATGTTTATTGGGTAGCCGTTGTTCGTAAGCATTTGCTTCACTCTTCTAATCTCTTGATTGACCAGCTCCCAGGACGAACAACATTTGATAGCCCTATGTACATATGCCCGGACCACAGACTCTTTATAGCGGGTTGGACACTCACTCTGACCGTGGAGACATCTACCAGCGTCAGTCGGCTTCCGGTAAACGTCTGTCGTCGTCTGCGAGCCTGACGAGTCCACTGCAACATCCAGGAAGTTGATCTTGTTGTTGACACTGATCTTTTGTTGACACTGATCTTTTGTTGTTGACACTGATTGTTGATCTTGTTGTCGAAACCGGTCCGAAAAAATGTATGTAACTTGGAATGTGTTTTTACTTGCTATCATGAATTCTATCTTCAGTAGAGTATCGATCCAAGAAAAGAAGGCGATAAGAAAACTAGAATCCATTGGAAAAGACTTAATCAGGACAAATGCTGCTGTTACATTTAACCAGATCTGCATCGAAAACAACTTGCTTCCCAAGTTTACGAATTTCGGCAAGGGGCATTCAATTTCGACAAGACCTTACGTATTTCGACGTTAGACATGGACTTAGACACGAGACATTCAATCTCGTCTTTTTACAATCAAAATCGACATCACTCATTTGATTTAGACATTGTTTATGTAAAAATCGTTGATCAAGCGGTTTTTGAAAAATAAAGAAAAAAGACCTGCTGGATGCTGGTCGTCCCAGTCGCTCCCGATCATGGTGTTCAGAACCTTATGTAAATAAAATTTGCCTACAGCACGGCCGGTAAATTCATCCGTACCCCATCTGCATCCTTATCGATCTGAATCCTTACGATGCTTCGTTGTTCCGTGCGGATGGTCACACATTGCACGCATTCGGGGTCGCTCCGACAAAACGCCCGTCCCGGGCTACCTCTGGAGCGGCTGTACGCGGTGGCGTGTTCAATTGCAGCGGGCCCGTCGAATGTCGAACGGGTCCTTGAATGCTGCTACGATTCTACGCCGGTCCCCCTTCCAACGCCGGGTTGGGGCCGCCCCGGGCAGCCAATCAGCGGCCGACAACGAGCACCGCCGCGGGCGGCTCACGACCCGGACCACGACAGCAGCGCGACGGCGGACGGCAACAGCTCAACAGCGCGGGCACCAGTCAGCCCCAGACAGCGGCGGCAGAGCCCACTGGCTGAGGTGGGGGGGGGGGGGGCATTCTTACATTGGTATCTGTAAAAATGCGTCATAGCTTTCACATGATGAGACAATTTCATCATAAGTTTAAGGTAAATTTATAAAAAGCAAAACAACCATTGTCTAAACTGATTGTAAAATGTCAAAGTCAAATGCAGTTCTTCATTTACAGCTGAGTATTGTCGAAATTCAATGCCCCTGTCGAAATTCGACGCAACAGATCGAATTTGAACCGGTGCTATCTTAAAATTGATGAAATAATTCGAAATGTGTGAGGCATGTCTAAATGGAGGTAGCTCTGTCGATATCAAATGCAAAAGTGTCGAAATTGAATGACCAGATGCCGATTTGTGGTGCAAAAAGGTGTATTAATGGGAGCCACAATATGCACAGGACCGAAAGACAGCCACTCGTTTATGAGGATTTCAATTCAATCTTAAAGGGACTATCCCACCTTTAACATGGGGTTTGAGTTGAGATAGCCAAGTTTGCGGCGAGGTTCAGAAACCACTATCTATCTAGGTTGCAGCCCCCGCGGCCTCTTGGTGTTGAAGAAATTCGTTCCCTTCATTTGAAAATGGGCCTTGTGCAAGGCCCTATCTTCAACATGGAGCGACCGTTAGTGTGACGTCACCTCGTTTAGTCATTCTGATTAAAATGGGTTTGTTCGTTGAAAAATCGCTTAAAACTTGGTCTGAACTTTGTTGTGGTGCCTACAGAGTAAAAAGAATCAGCTTTATGACAGTAATGTGGCCTGGGGAAGGAGGTAATTTTGGGCTGTGACGTCACATATTTGAAAGTTTGTGTTTGGAATATGGGAAGCCTAAGATGTTTAATGAAAAATAAATGCCAGAACCGTGTTTCTGGTCATCCAATCTATAAAGTCGGGCACAATTTAACTGGTTTTAACAGCATTTTAGAAGGTGGGATAGTCCCTTTAATCACCAGCAGGTGGACAACTTAAATGATTTATTTATACATGTTGATACAGACAAACATGATTTTATTGCCTTCTTTCATCCTGCGAAATACACCGAACCCAGCAGCGGCGGAACACCTTCAATTAAGGGGGCGGGGGGCACTGCCGACTTTTGGCTCCATTCTTTCCATGCAACGCCCATAGGGCTAATGTTAAAATGGCAAAATCAAGGGGGGGCACGGTGCCCCGGTGCCCCCCCCCCCCCCCACGTTCCGCCGCCTATGACCGAGCTAATCATTCAGACTAACCTGTTTGTGGGAACATTTGTCAGTGAAATGTAGTTGCTCCTCACGCTTCGTAGACTTGCCAAAATTTGTGCGAAGGGGGTGACGATCAAGTCTTCTCCATGGCTGAAACACAAAGATAGAAAGCGTTTCATCTAAATGGTCTCTTTCTGTTTGAAGGGATAGTGATTTGATTTCCAGTGGAATGTGCATGGCGCTTTGAGGAATGCACGGGTCTGGAGATACTCATTACTTATCCAGTTTAGCCGCCAAGAGTTCGTCTGTGCCTATGGGTTGGGATCTATGCGGTATAGGCTGTACCGCAATACACCGGCGCTATGCGGGACAGGGTGTAGCGCGGTGCACGGGTTTGTAGAGAAGAAAGATCTTCAGTGAAACGTAGATAGATGGTGAAAGCAATTTTAATATCGCTACATGTAATTTTAAAAGCATTGACAATGCTTCTGAACTTATTATACAGTCTGTACCCTGTACTATTGATAATGCACATTTCCGATACACGCACCTATATGCAGGTTGGGACTCACAAAGCTACTATTTAGTTCTTGTTAGCAGGTCAGCGGCAATCCCGTAACGAACTATTGTAATCATCTATTGGCCTATCCGAGCGCATTGTTTCAGTCTTGGTAAAGACAGTGCTCTCGGGTAGAAGAGCTGAGGACACAGCGCCGGTTCCCAGAGCCCAGTTGGTATCATTTGCGTGCGGCGGCCGGTCGGCGGGGCTCGTATGTCGCCGCCTGCCCGTCACAGCACTAATGAAGCCTGCCCTTGGGCGCGTCTGGCCATAACGAGGAGACCTGGCCCCGGAGACCGGCGGCCGGTGTTTTGCGGCGGCCGAGTCAACGCGGCTATATTAACATCTTTACCTGCTCACACGGTGGACGCTGCGGGCTGTGTAGGTGTTTTATATCACAGGCTCTTCTCGGAGGTCCTCTTTTCAAGACATGCACTTCCTGGAGATGAAGCGCTGGCGCTACTCGCCGCCCCTTCCGGAAAATGTAATATTTGATAAGGACGCAGGAACTATTTCAAAGTTGCTGGAGAGTGGGGGGGAGGGGTAACCTCGGCTCACACATAGCTAACAAGAGGTCTATACCGACCTTTTAGCGAGTATGGGTTTCTAAAAGGGTGCGGTAAATGTTCTCTACCAACCAAATTTTGATAGTAATATAAACGACAGCGACCGCAGGCAGGCTATCGGATTGGAGGCAACGATATCCGACCTACATATAAGCCTATGGCAGCGTATCGAAAGAAACAAGAGACTCCATCCGTAGAGCTTTAACTAGTGATGTCAATTACAGAAAATCGGAATACCGATACCAAACCAAATACCAATTAAAACCGTGGGGAAATACCGAAACCGAACCAACTTTGAAATACCTATGAGGGAAATACCAACTTTTTACCAATTTCTTAGCCTCTTATACATTAGTAAGGGTTCATAATACCAACAAAATACCCAACACATTATGATTGAAATACCAATACCAAGTTGGTATCGGTTTGGTATCGGTATACCAAAAAGTTGGTATCCGATTGACATCTTTAGCTTAAACCGATAGGTATTAGGCGGGGACATTGTTCTACCCTCAAATAGTTTTGTTGTTGTTGTTGTTGTTGTTGTTGTTGTTGTTGTTGCAAATATCTGGAAATTGCAGCGCGTACCTCCGCAACTCTTAGCATGCTATGATGCATCTTTTACGCGCATGTTCAAAAAATTCCAGACCCAGGATTCATGTCAAGTGACCTTGCCCAAAAAAATGAAATTTCCGTTAAAAATACAGTTTACACTAATTTACCGGTAGGTTTGAAGCTCACTTACAGCAATTAATCAGCTTGACAGGAAGCATGAAACACATCCGTACGAGCTGCTATATCGCTGACATAAGTCAAGTCAAGTCAATTTTGGGATCATTGCCAGCCAAGGGAAGATAATGAATTATATGTATTTGGTTTAGAAGAAAATAATAACACTCTGGAGCATCGTTTATCTAATAATGTCGAATACTGAATTGGAAAATTGCATCATTTACCACTGAGGTCATCTTAGAATACGAAAGGTCACCAACATAGTTCTGACAATAACTTTTGGTAGAGGTCTAGATAGAACTTTGAGAACACCATTGATGTGTTCAGCTCAACAACACAACTCAACTAATGCGCAAGATCACTTTCTGGTCAGGTCATGACCTCGACCCTAGGTCAAATTTCAACTTGTTGACATTTCTTAAGGTCAAATTACAGTTCATTCGACAGTCTCAATGAAAGAAACACGATGATCGTTAAAGCTTTGTGCCAAAACTACATGCAGCTTTTAAAACACCAATCGTGACGGTAATGCCCTCTGGACGCCATACAAATGGAAGGGCAAATCTGGGGTCTCGTCAAAAGCATTTATGAAGAAGTAAGAAACCTATCGAATGTCTTTCTGAGACTTTTCAGTTCGATTAGTTCATGGGCACCGTCACCGAACAGTGTGCCAATTTGTCCACAATCAATGTAGCGCAGGCTTTCGGGTCAAATTTTGACCTCACAATTAAGGTGCAAGGGATCTCCTGTTACGGATGCCTGTTTTAGTTTTTGGAGCATGATGCTGATTGGTGACTCAGGCGTTCGACCGCGCGGCAGTGCCTGTCTCTACTTACTGTGTCCGGCCGACGGGTCTGGCGGCGCCGGCGCCCAGCCTAGACCAGACCCGCTGCCAGAGCGGACTGCGCCTCTTGAGTCGCAGCTGGGCGCCCGTGGTCGGCGACAGCCACGGGCCGGGCCGGCCGGCACCGCGCGGCACCGCACCCTTCCGTCCGCGCAGAGCCATCGCCGGCCGTGCACTGACACGGCGGGCAGCGGTAGCTGGGCGCAGCGCGCACCGACAACGCTCCACGCACAGCGCACCGCAGACGGCGGCTCGGCACTGAGGGGGCGCTGGACGAAACGCAACCGCCGCCGCAGCTCCCCGACCGCTGCATTCCCCTTAATTTAATTTCCATATGCTTTTCGCTAGGTGTTGTTTTTATTGAACCATTTGTTTAGTATGAAGGCGAAATAATTCCTTCTCAAAATCACTATTCCCAAAGTCAAGTAAATTGACATTTTGCAATTATATTGGTCAAAAGCTTTCTGTTTTCATCAGTGAACCAATTGTAAGGCATGTCTTTATTAATGTCTTAAACAAAACATCGGAAAACGCAAGCATTGCAGTGCCCAGTGCACTTCCTGTTGAATAAAAAAAGACTATTTTCGGGGCTCCTACTGCAAACGAGCCTAACAGCATTGCCGATTGGAGCTGGAGTCACTGTGGTCAGTGATGGCACTAGTGGGCCTCGGACAGCGTCACCGGAGTCTAAGTGGGCGTGACTGGTACCTGGGATGGCGACACCGGGCCTCAGGCGTCATTGCGGCCCGGGGTGGGTCGGGGTTACTGAGGTCTGTACGGGTGCCACTGGGGCCTGGGAGGGCGCCAGTGGGACCTGGGGTGACGACACTGCAGGCAGAGGCGAGGGTAGTCGGTGAGGGCGTCGCTGGGACCTGGGGTGGCGCCACTGTGGTCAGGGGTGTGGCTAGTTAACCCGCGAGTTGCTGGGGGGGGGCGTTAAACGCCCCCACTTTTTTCGCCGGGCCATAGCATAAAAACGGCGCGCCGCAGGCGCGCCAAATTTTGGGTACCTGTAGGGAATTGATTGAAGTTTATTGTGACAAAGTTTCAAAAAAATTGGTCCGAAAATTTTTGAGATATCGAGGTTTTAGTGACGTCATGATTTCTGAGTTTTCGACCAAAAACGGCATATGTTCAAAAAATCATTTAAAATCACAGAATAGACATACAGACATGCCGTAAACGCCATTAGAATGCCAATACCATGAACAATCAAATGGCTATCTTCGATTATTGATTATCGTTCCGCATTTTCCAAAATCTTAAACTGAATCTTGACAATTTCTCGTGACTACTTCACGACCATGATACATGAATTTCTTAAATTGAACTTTTTGAGCCAAACACGTACACATATGATAAAGTGAATGTCACCATCGTGTTCTACGGCCCAAATTACCCATAAAACATGTGTCATAGGCTGCGAATATCAGTTTTGATATTCGGGGATATGTGCCTACCCGGTTGACCTGACCTTGACCCTGACCTATGCTTGACTGACCCCTACATGGAGCTGACACTCTTGTAGGCCTTATATGATGGATTGTGCACCGTTTTGACAGAGTTTCTGACGAGAGGCGCCCATTGCGAAGTCCTGAAGTCCATGCTACTGAAAACCCGATTTCAGGTGTTTGACCTGACCTTGACCCGACCTGTGACCTCAAAATTCAACTTTGAAGTACTCATCTGAAGCGTCTCGTCGCGTTCTTTCGTTTGCCGCCTCGTGCGTTTCGCTGCGCCTATTGGTTCTCGAGTTATCGGCTGGGGGCGTTTAACGCCCCCCCCAGCAAACGGTGGGTGGCGAAATACCCCAGCAACTGCCGGGTTAAGTCTGGGAGGGCGCTACTGAAATCTGAGGCGGCGCTGGGGTCTAGGAGGGCGCCACTATGGGTAGAGGTGGCGCTAGGAGGCATGTGATGACGTCACTAGAGTCCGGGAGGGCGCCACTGGGACGGCTGAGATGGCGCCGCTGTCGTGGAGAGGTGCAGCGCCACTGTAGGCGCTAGTGGGGACTGGGGAGTGCAGTCTGGGAGGGCGCCGCTGGAGCCTCAGGCGCCATTGGCACCTGAGATGTTGCCTCTGAGGCCTGGGATGGTGCTTCTGGGGCTTGAGGTGGCACTGCGGGGGCCTCAGGGGCTGTGCGACATCCTCCCGACGAACCCAGTCTCACCCTGGATCACACTTCCCTGTTTCGGGTTGATGGTTACAACTTCAGACACAAAGTGGAAATCCTCTTTGTAAAAGAAGAGCACCCCTCCGGGGGAAACCGTTTGAGCGTCTTATCGCATTCAGCTTCGATGATTGTCATGATTATTAACGTAAAACAGCACCCTTGCCTGTCTTTTTGTACGTTTGAATGAAAAGATTTACGGCCGCGGGAGCTAGCTGGAAATAAAACAATATTATATTTCAATGCACTGTAGACAGCGTGTTCGTCCAAGAGCACTCGTCATCATCAAAAGAATCAGTTTTTGTCCTGCTCATTAAATTGGACACATTCTGTCAGAACATCTTGATCTTTTTCAAGAATAACTTCAAAGGGCGAACGGTCGCTGTTCGTTGTGCCTTTCACAGCCCTAACATAACTGAGTATCACATATTATGCTAATGTCTTGACCTAAGTTTTTTCGGCATTCCATGCTAAAAAACAAACGCTACCACGTCAAAAGAATGCGGCTGTGTTGTGTCCATTTTCATAAATTTAATTTCGGCGTCTTATAATTAAAAAAAAATCATATCCTATTGACTCTGCGCTGTGTGGTGATGCGGTTTGGGGTGAGCAGGACGGTAAGCTAATGGACTGGTTTCAATCAGTCTGGCACATACACCTATCTGGACATTTTTTTTCTGTGGATCGCGCTTTTACATGCCGTCGCGATCTCGATCGATGGTACATGGTGCGAGAGACAGATGACTCATAATGATAATCATGGTAATAGGCAACTAGTCTATCATATATGATTGCAAGGGTTATTTTAGATGTAATTGCTGATCTATAAAGGGTCACGACAGCTAAATCTAGGGTATTATTGAACTGCGGAGAATCAAGTCCCAGATCACCGTCCGTATCAGACTGACAATCTGCATGCACATTGCACATCATGGGGCGCTGGCGCCCAGCCGCACAACTCACCACTCGCTGGCGATGCTCGAGTGCCGGGAGACCTTTGGGGACATCTGGAAGTCCTCAGATTTGTAGATGAAGGACTCCCGCCGCTGCGGCATGCTTTGTAGCACGAGCCCAGACGGGGTCCCGCCGTCCCCAACGCGGCCGGCGGCTCCGCCTCCATTCTCCAGATCAAAACTGCAACGAAACCAGGACACAGTGTGAGACTATAAGTTAGACGGTCAACACTGACTATTTGAGGACCTAATCTAGAAGCAACATATTTTGATAAGCACTTACATAAGTGCATTTCTGGCTCTCCCTACTCTGACATCGCAAAATTCTTCCAATCTACCGGCGCACAAATCACTTCTACTCATAAAGCGTCTCCCCATTTCCGCTACCCGAATTTCCATCCGCCGATCTTTTAAAGTTAATTTTAAAATTAAGAGCTAAAGTCAATTTCAATTGGTCTGCCTCTAAATGAGCTGAGTCCCGCCACACAGCTGTACGGAATGGAGTTTCACAAACTAACGCATTTTATTATACAAACAGATTCATATAGGGCCGCAGAAGCGAAGTGAGAAAGGCGAGGAACGCGTTCGACTCTCATATACCTATTCCTAAAATGTTGGTCTGCGTTTCTCGTCACCAAGTTTGCTCGTTAGTAGCTGGCGACAGAGACGGTCTGCGGTTGGTGGCAGCAGTCTTATGTGACCCATAGGATAGATATAGTGATGACGTCAGCGAGCCGCCGGTGCGATAGTCGATAACCGATGAACGTTGACGGCACGAATATTATAATATTCATTTTGAACGATACCAGTATCAGAGGCAGGGTTACATAATCTCAAAAGTAGAGTACAGGTGGGACAATGAAAACATCTCTGATCTCTCCTTAACACTGACAACCAAAACGATTCTCTATTCCCTTTGATCATGGTGTGTCATGCTCCTATAACTCTGCCGTTTTCCTGGCGGAATGCCCTTAAGATACTCAAATGATTCCTCAAATGATTCCTTTTAAGCATATCAGGGGTTTTGGTCTAAAACAACACCCTGATCATTTTCTTCGAACATACCCAAACTATACACTCATTCTTTAAATACCTCCCTTGAATTCTTCTAATATACCCTAGTGTACAGTCTCTGCCGCTACTGTCAGATACCGTACCCGTGCCGCTCGGCGCCTCCGGCGGTGACCGGTCGGCGGGCCGGGACTGGCCGGTCGGGCGGGCGGGGAGGACGGGCAGTCGCTCCCTGGACGTGTTGCTGACCACTAATACAGCACCAAACGCGGTGCCGTCTTCGCTGAGTGCGTGTGGGCGGTGCGACGACATAACAGGCAGCTATAAGCTTGTTTTGACGCGCGGTATGGGCAGCTATAACCAGTCGCGGCGCAAGTGCGTTTGAGCCAGGTGATTCGCAACCGCCACCCAATCAGCATACTGCAATCCAGTGCCGGCAGTGACGTACATGACACGTGATCAGACAGCTGGGCCGAAAGCGCGCCAATTTTCAAAGGGTTTGAGAACGCCAGTTGAGTATGAGCGTGCAGTGGAGAAGGACGGTTGTGCTCAGCGCGGGTGATAGCGGGTGTGTAGTGTGTGCATTGATCATTCGAGCAAAGGACGTCGTGGAGGACATCGAAAGCACAGCTGTGGAACCCAGAAAAGACGAAACCTGCACGACAACGACTTTTCGGCGTGCCGGAAACCGGAAAATTCACCCAAGAGACCCTTGGTGGGCGTGTTTGCCCGCACCCAGTGTAGATCTGCATGACTATTTTACGGTCAGCGCCCGGACCCGAGCAGTGCGCAGTATCTGGTCTTATTATCCCTTTTACAGGGTCCGGCATATAAGTTTTGTCTTGTAAAAATGTGTCGTGTAAGCTGCTAGGTGAAAGTCAGCAATTGTTACAGGATATGCAATGCTCTAATGACATCTCTTTGGTAATGAACAGTTATTTAACATACACGCCATTTTTGCGTTGCTGAAAGCACCGTTGATTTTCGTGTTTTATAACCGAAATAGATATTAAATATCCATTCATGATGATCTCAGATTTAGGTACTTATCCCAAGTTGCGTCTTATCGGAAGAGAAACGGTGAAGTTATGTCCATGCTGTTGTCACCAATGTAAAACATGAATAATAATAAAAGACCAAATGTCTGTGAGTTTTGGATGTGTTACGATATATAAAGGGAAATCGGACGAGGGAGCTGAGAGTAATGAGACAGTTTCTGAGCAAGTTCTACGACGAATATACCTAGGGCATTATTATTTTCCCTTCTGGGTTTATGTGGGGTCTAATGCAAGAATACATTGAGATCAGTGATGGAAATCACAGAATAATACGGGAGTGTTAAGTGGTATAATGCGAGTATAGTTTGCAAAATATTCCCCTTATACGCTTAGAAGGAATACAAGAGGTTTCGATGTAGGGGTATTTTGGTAGGTTAAAAGGAGTGTACTGTGGGTATCGCAGGGAATAGAACAGGAATCATATTCCTTTCCCCTTCAGTACTTACTAGGGTATATTAGAAGAATTCAAGGGAGCTATTTAAAGAACAAGGGTATAGTTTGGGTATATTCGAAGAAATGATCAGGATGTTGTTTTAGGCCAAAACCCCTAATATGCTTAGAAGGAATCAAAAAGGTTTTCAGTGTAGGGTATATTAGAAGAATTTCAGAGCGATATTCAAAGAAAGTGTATTTGGGGTATATTCGGAGAAATGATCAGGGTGTTGTTTTAGACCAATTCCCCTAATATGCTTAAAAGGAATCAAAAAAGCTCTCAGTGAAGGCTGAATAATCTCAGAAATCTCTTCATTGAAAACACACGGAGTTAACATAATTTTAGAACAAGTCAGTGCTAAGGAGTGCCTGGCCAGGATCAAAGGTGCTGATCTCTGGGCTGGGCTAAACTGGGCCAAGCTGAGCTGTAACTGTAAGCACCTACTTATCAAGCCAATACCTAGCTCACTCCTGGAAGCCTTACATTTTCCACGCAAGAGGCTAAGCTCAACCCTACAAAAATAAGGCATCCCCTAAAAGGAGTGGATTCCAACTAAGCCTTCATTTTCCAGATGGGCGGGATGCGGCGGAGTCGGCATTCCGTGGCCCGGGCCGTGCAGTCTAGGAGCCTCATGCTGACCTGTCACGGATCGCGCGGCTACTGATGTAATGAAATAGCCGGGTTACGGCGCCACCGTACTACCCAGTATCGATGTGCGACGAGCTAGAACGAACGGAGCGGTATGCCCGGCCGTCTACCAATACGGCCAATAACTCACATGACTGGTAACTGGAGGCGTACATAACTACTTAGATCTGTGAAACATTTTCACAAGTAATTTGGCAAGCATATTGGTGGTTTTAGACATTCAGTATATAATTTGACTAAACGCATTTAATGTGAAGTGTACGCAGCCCTGCACTACCAAGGGATTGTAAACATAGATAAAGAAGTATTCCCACGGGCTTCACGACTGATGACGGCCATATTGACCGAAGCCTTCATGATGACTATTCATTCCAATGGGTAATCAGCCAGCAGCAGATCGATCATCCTATAAATACGTATCTCGCCCGCTCACGGCACCGGGTATTTCCAGCAGGAGGCTGGCACGAATATTGACCACGAGGCTATTGTCCGATCCTGCCAATAGCGAGGTGACTTATAGGGATCACCTGAGACGTTCCCCGGCCGTCAGCGCTGGGACATGCTGCAGATGGTGTGGCAGATTGCTTTTTAACCCGGCCGGGACCGGGGGTAATCCCAACCACCGCAGCCCGGGGGGGGGGGCGTTTTTCGCCCCCTTGTCTAACTCCGTTAATAAGGGAGCTACGGAAACAAAAGGGACACCAAACGAAAGTTCCTTACGAAACGATTCTAAAGCACCTAAAATTTTTGACCTCAGGTCAATTTTCAAGGTCAGAGGTCAAGGTGAAAGGCAAAAGCCGGCACATGTGTAGTAATCTCAAAGTAAGCGTTCTAGAGGACGGCAGGATGCATAAAACCGGCAAACTTAGGTGTCAAACGAAAGAAGGGAATCTGAGAATTCCGAAAATGTGCTCAAAAATCAAAGGTCAAGGTCAAGGTCATGCTCAAACTTGACGTGCTAACTTCCAAGATGTTTTGAAATGTTTTGAGGCTTATCAGGTCCCTATTTGTGGTTCATCTTATGATACAAGGCTGCTCAAAGGTCAAGGTCATAGAAGAGTATCCTTGCTAGAGGCTATTTCACTGATTCAAGTTAGAAATAATAAATCAGACAATTTTGCCATCCGGAGGCTCTAAATGAAGGATTAGAGGAAATAGATGCCAGATTCGTGATCAGCAGGTAGGAATCCATCATAATCGACCGTTCATGTGTCAAGGTCAACCAAATGTCATTCGAGGCCACATGAGGTCAACATAAAACTTGACCTTTTCCAAACTATATATATATATATATATATATATATATATATATATATATATATATATATATATATATATATATATATATATATATATATATATACATGTACATATACATATACATACATATATATATACATATGTGTATATATATATATATATATATATATATATATATATATATATATATATATATATATATATATATATATATATATGTTACAGGCAATGTGTGGAATCAGGCATTCTATAGAATCCCTAGGTATTCTATAGAATGCCTGACCCACCAGGGATTCTATAGAATCCCTAGGCATTCTATAGAATGCCTGATTTTCAGGCATTCTATAGAATGCCTAAGAAAAACACGAATCTTTCCAACATATTAGTGTATGTTGTATAAGATTATGAGCACAGACCGATACGTAACATTATTATTTTCTGCCACGCTACCTTGCGGTCAGCTATTTATGTTCATTCAGTCAAATGTTCATTCAGTCATTCATGTTCATTCAGTCAAATTTTCCGGTCAGGTATTCAATCTGGCTTATTAGGTCAAATTGTATCAGGATTTTATCCTGAGAGTTCAGAGCATTTATATTACCAGAGATGACTGCGGTTCAAAACGACGTGCAAAGTAGCACTAAGTGGGACCAGTTATCTCCTGAATCTCTTAAGATATACTCTGATAAATGTAAGGATTTGTTAACTAGTGTTGCAACTGATGCACCAGGCATTACATGTTCTGAACCGAACTGCACTTCAGAGGAACACAGGGCAGAGTGCATAGCGCTTTACGAACAAATATATCGCGCCCTTTTGCAGGCAGAAAATTTTGTAAACGATGCTAGGGCCAGAAAGTCTTTCAAATGTGTCCCTGGATGGAATTACTATGTCTCTGACCTGTACAAAGAATCGAAGGACCTGTATCGACTTTGGCAAGAAGCAGGGAAACCTAAGCATGGCCCAGTGTTTGATGCCTACGGCAGAGGCAGGGCCAGGTGTAAGTATGCCATTCGTTTTGTTAAGAAAAATGAAAGTGTTCTGAGACGTGAAGCCATCGCCAAAAAGTTATGTGACAATGACTGTAAATCTTTTTGGAAAGAAATAAGATCGCTGAGTAACAGTAGTACTCCCTTACCATCAGTGATTGATAGTGTGTGTGGTGAAGGTGAGATTGCTGACTTTTGGGGGAAACATTTCTCCAGCCTTCTCAATTCGATGCCGTCATCAGATGGTACGCTCTGGGAAGAGGACAGGGAATCGTCTGTAGGTGATATCAGAGTGTCCGAAGGCGAGATTCAGGATGCTGTCCAAAAAATGAAGTGTGGGAAAGCTAGTGGGATCGATGGTTTACAGGCCGAAAACTTGAAATATGCGGGTAAAAGTTTATCGTCAAAGTTATCCGCTTGCTTCACAGCACTACTTATGCATGGCATTCTCCCAGAATCAATGATGGCGGTGGTCCTGGTGCCGATTATCAAGGATAAAGCTGGTAAGGTCACTGCAAAAGATAACTACCGACCTGTTGCGCTAGCTAGCGTAATGAGTAAAGCGCTAGAACTAATCCTTTTGGAACGGATAGAGGACCACCTGTTGACAGCCTCCAATCAGTTTGGCTTCAAAAAGGGAATGGGAACTGACCAGTACATATACCTCCTGAAACAGTCTATTGATCTGTACAAGTCCATGAATGGCAGTGCATTTATGTGTTTCTTGGATTCAAGCAAGGCATTCGATCGTGTACAGCATAAAAGGCTTTTCGACATTCTTCGAGATAGAGCAGTCCCAATATACATTGTTCGTTTCGTGTACTCGTGTACTGGTACGCCCGTCAGGAAATGTGTGTCCGGTGGGGTGGTGCCATTTCCTTTAAATTTAGGGTATCGAACGGCGTTAGGCAGGGTGGCATATTGTCCCCATATCTGTTTAATGTATAGGGGAAAGTGGGGTAAGACGGTCAGGGTAGGTAAGACGGGCACCCCTTCTGCAGACCAAACCAATAGCGCTACGAGCAAGAAAAGTTAGGACCAGAATTGCCTTTCCCACTACACACCACCATTCAAGTCTGGTGAATTTGTGTTCAGTCGATAATCTTTTATTTTGATTTCTTTAAAACACTCATTTCATTGAAAACATCCATAATGTATTGTGCAAGCTTTTGTGTACAGCACTATAGAGTTAAAAACTCGCAATCACTTGTGGTACACTCATATGCCAACAGTGTTCATTTACGGCGGATTTGCTTTGTCTGCATCAAATTGTCCACAGCGAAAAATCGTGCTGAACTTCTGACATTGAGTTTGGGGTAAGACGGGCAACTATGAACCCAATGGGTCTGTAATGGTGAAAATATTTTTGTTGCTGTAGGAAAAAAGAAGCATTTCTAATAAGAATATGTTCGATTCCGATACTCACAGACATGTTAGCAATATTCCTTCGGCACAGTTTATTCTCGAATAATGAATGTGAAAAACGGTTCTACATGGCTTCTGAACTAGGGCCTATATAGGAGCATACGCCTTCTGCACGAATCTCGTATACTGCCATTTCCGAAGCACTTGAGACCAACGAGCGACTGTATAAATGCGGCTAATCTCGGGCATTTGTTGCGAGCTGCGCTGATCGGTGAAAGAAGCTGGCCGTCTTGCCCTACCCATGTGACCGTCTTACCCCATGGGGTGGGGTAAGACGGGTTTTTGCAAGGTTTTGCAAAAATAGCTGCAGTTTATTTGTTGAATCAGGTCTAAGTCTCATCTTCTGGCAAATGAAAGTAAAATGTCTGAAAAAGGTTTTCACCCAGTTTCCCGTTTCTATGATGTTTCTAACCGGCCGAAAAATGGCTCCAAAGTTAAGGTGCCCGTCTTACCCCACTTTCCCCTATATGGACGGTCTGAGTTCTTTGTTAAATAGACAGAATGTAGGTTGCTGGGTAGGGGATGCGAAAATCAATCATCTGATGTACGCAGATGATGTGATATTGTTATCACCGTCGGTTGCAGGGTTGAGCAAACTGATTTCATTGTGTGGAGAATTCGGAAAAACTTGCAATATTTTGTACAATGCAAAGAAAAGTGTTGTACTGGTTTGTCGCTCTAAACACATGAAAGATTTGATATTGCCAAGGCTGTTCATTGAAGGTGTTCCTCTAAAGGAGGTTGATCATGTAAAATACTTAGGGCATATCATCAGTAATCATGCTTACTCAGATGATCTTGACATAGATCGGCAGTGTAAACAAATGTACAAACAGGGGAATGTGCTGATTCGTCGTTTTCACATGTGCTCGGTAGCAGCAAAGGCGCGTCTCTTTACAGCGTTTTGTTCATCTATGTACACTGCACACTTGTGGTCAAATTATCGCCAGCGTATGTTGCGCCGGCTGATGGTGGCTTACCATACGGTATTGAAAACTATGCTAGGCATTTCTAGGTACGAGAGTTCTTCTCACATATGTGTCGTGCACCGTGTCCTCATTGTGCCGTTCTCATCAGACAGCGCATCTATAACTTCATGTGCAGGCTGAGTACATGTGATATTGAGCTGGTAAAAAAGACTGAAAATTCGAGTGTAAAATACCGTTAACGTTGACGTCGCCGGCGCCTGGATGTTGTGATATGCTTGAGCTGAGCTGAGGGCGGTACCCGTCTCTTACCTCGATAGATTTGGCGTAACGCGGCCTCGACCTCCGCCAGCTCCTTATGCGTGTGTTCCAGCTCTCCCTAGCTGAAAGACGCCTAGGGAGTTGACGGAAGGAGACGAAAGAGGGAAAAGGCAAAATGAAAGAACATAACAGCAAAGAAAAAAAAACGAAAACGAGAGCGGCCTCGGTGTGGCGTGCCGCTCACACACTGTGGAGGGGAGCAGTGTCCTCGCTGGGGTGGACGGTGCTGTTAGCGCCCTCTGTGCCCCTCCCTCGTGTGCCGGGCACCTCCTGTCGGCGGGGCGGTGGTCGCCTCTATCGTCACGTTAATGTAATTTGCACGCGGAGTCGACGTGAAATGACCATTAACGTTGACGTCGCCGGCGCCTGGATGTTGTGATATGCTTGAGCTGAGCTGAGGGCGGTACCCGTCTCTTACCTCGATAGATTTGGCGTAACGCGGCCTCGACCTCCGCCAGCTCCTTATGCGTGTGTTCCAGCTCTCCCTAGCTGAAAGACGCCAAAGCTTTGCCCAAATGTATTAAACGATAACACACTAAGCGGCCGATGCGGCACCGTGGCAATGTGCCGTTGTGCAGTTATGGGGGCGCGTCGGAGGGAGCGTCGCAGAGACACGTCACCGAACATGATGCGCGAGAGGCCGTAGTGGCGTTCAAGGCTATATAGCCGGTGCTTCTGAGACCGGTGGGAGGGGGGGGGGGCGGGGCAAGGGGGGGGGGGCGTCGGTCGGAGCGGTGCATCACTGAGCGGTGTGGCCGCCTGGAAGCCAGGCGAGGCCGTTGCGAGCGGGCTGAGCGCCGGTCTGGCTAGATATAGCGGCCGTCGATGAAATTCACACCCTCCAGGGTTGGCTGGGCTAGGAATCGGCGGATAGAAGCCGGCACCGGGGTTGGTTCCGGTCGGGCGTTGGGCTGCAGTGCACGGAAGCGGGCCCGCTGCAGGCGAGAGAGGGCGTCGGCGGTGCCATTATCATGCCCGGCTACGTGTGTTACTCGGAACACAAAGTACTGGGAGGCGGCGAGGTAGGCGAGCTGGCGCAGCAAGGACATGAGGCGTGGGTCCCGACTCCAGCCTTTTGTGCACGCCCCGACGACCCCGCTGTTGTCGCAGTGGAAGGTGATGCGACGGCCGGACCACTGAGCCCCCCACAGTGCACAGGCGACCAGGATCGGCACCATTTCCAGCCATGTTATGCTGTTCGCCCAGGCAAGGGCGGCAGGCGGCCATAGTTCCGAGAACCATTCCTCACCACACATTCCGCCGTACCCTACATGGGAGGCATCCGTGTGCAGTATTGTGTGAGCGGGTGGGGTCCAGGTGGGGTGGAGCAGTGGCGCGACGCCGTTCCAGGTAGGTAGGAGGCACAGCCACCAGTCGAGATCACGTTTAGTGTCCCTGCTTAAAGTGACCCAGTGGTGGGGCCGGGAGACGGTGTGGGCAGTATCCAACAGCCTGCGGAAAAAACTGCGGCCCGCGGGGAAGCATTTTGTGGCGTGCACGAGCTTGCCAATGAGGCTGAGGAGGTGCCGCTGCCGTACCTTGCGTGCTTTGCGCACGGTGCGGAGGCTGGTGACGATGTCCATGACCTTGCGGTCGGGGAGGGAGATAGTCAGGGCTGTGGTATCCAGCACGCAGCCCAGCAGCTCCATGCGTGTGCTGGGAGGCTGGCATTTTTCGTCCGCCACCGGGACACCGCACGCGTTGCACAGTGCTCGGAAGGTGTTATAGGCGGCTGCGCAGAGGGGGGAGTCGGCGGGGGAGAAAAAGAAGAAGTCATCCAAGTAATTGAAAACCTTTGAATTCTTGGAGTGGAAGGATACGGCGTCGCGGAGCACGACGGCGAGGTCGTTGAAAATGGCGCATGCCGATCGGAGGCCGAACGGGAGGCGGACGTCAAAGTAGTACTGGTCACGCCAGTGGTACCCAAGAAGCCACCAATCCTCAGGGCGCACCGGTATCAGACGAAAGGCATGTTTAAGGTCGGCCTTGGCCAGGAGAGCGCCGCGTGGCCCGCAATCAAACAGAGCGGCAATGGCCTGATCCGTGGTGACGTACTGTATGGAAAAGGTGTCGCGGTCAATATGGTCGTTCACGCTGTGACCGTCCGGCTGAGAGAGGTCCAGAATGATGCGTACCGTACCATCGTTTTTGTCACGAGCACCAAGGGGGTTGCAGCGGAAAGGGTTGAACGGCGGGGAGGGGAACGGTCCGGCAGCGTGACCCCGTGCAATCTCGAGCTGCAAGGCGGTCGTGAGAGCTTCAGGATACACGCTCGCCGAACGGTTGTTTGGGCGAAGTGAGCCGGTGAGTGGGCCGGTGTAGCCGATGTTCGCCCCATGTAGTAGCCGGTCGGTAACCGTGCGCAGTAGGGCGGGGTCGGTGAGTGGGGAGGACAGCTGTGCGAGCATGTGGGGTGAGACCGGCGTATGAGGGTGGTCCGGCACTGAGGCGGGGGCGTTACCCACCGTGGCTGCCGCGCGGCCTGGAGCTAGTAGCGGCCCGCTAGGGGTGTCATTAGCGGGCGCGGGGCGTTTCCCTGGGCTGAGGGGCAGGTGTGGGCTGGGTGCGGGCCGCCGCAGCTGGTGCATGTGTGGGGGCGGCGACATGAGGCGCCGGCAGAGCACCGGCCGTTATTCCAGCGGAAGCACGGCTCGGGGAGGGCGGGGCGCGGCGTCGGACGGCGGCCGGCGGTGTCGGGACCGAGCGGAAAGCCTGAGAGCGAGCGGCGGGACGCCAGGAACCCTTGCACGCATTGGTGAGCTCTGCCGGGCTGTGGTAGTCCTGCGGGTACTGTGCTAGGTGCGTCCGTCCCTGGCCGTCCAGCTCCCTCAGTGCCGACAGGGTGAGGCCGGCTGCGTGACCGTGCAGCCACACCGCGTACATGGCCCATTGGACGGCCATCGTCGGGAAAAAGTAGGAGCGGTAGGCGACCAGGATGGCGAGCCCGCGCAGGTAGTCGGCCGTAGATGTGCAGGACTGGGCTGGTGCAGTCCCGCCGCGACCTCCAAATGGGCGCGGGTGTAGTAGGTCGTTGATGTCCACAACCTTTGAGCGGTTGCGGAGCCGGCGAAGAGTATCCGGGGCGACCGTGGGCAGCTTAAGACGGCGCGGTGGCGGCGGTTGTGTGGACTTTAATGGTGCCTTGCTTGCGCGAAGAAAATCCACCGTCGGCCCAGGACTGGGCGGCGGGCTGGTCTTGCGACTATGTCGGGCGTCTCCTCTCCGCCGCTTATGGCGTGGCGGGGCAGGCGAGTCCGACCCGGACTCGGAGTCAGAAGTGGGGGTGTCTGCGTCGGACAGTGTGGAGTCGACGTCGGAGAGCGGCAGAGTGTCGCTGTCGCTGGTGGCCTCGATTGGAGGTGAGGCAGGCCCGGCGGGGCGCGGCGTCTCCAAAGATTCCGGCGGTGCGGCGGTGGGCTCGACGACCGGGTCGGAGCGGCGGGGGCCTGTAAGCGGCCGAGAAACGGTTGGCACGGGCAGGTGACGACGACTAGGGGCACAAAAAAAGGGGGTACCGCGAAACATCTGGGCCTGATGGCTGCCCGGCGTACGATATGAAGGACGCAGTCGGACATGGGGAGGTCGTGATGTTATGTGTTAGCGAGCCGTCTATCGGCAGTGTGAACAGGTCGTGGGGCAGGGATGTGCTGGCAAGGTCGTTTGATGAGTCAACGACCGGCTGTCTGGTGAAAGACGAGGGGAAATTGTAGAGGCACTGTGAGAAAAAGAATTGGTCTCTTCGCGACGCAAAAACACCGACCCTCCCCGGAATCGAACCGGCCGCCCTTACGACAAGAACCGACTTCACACGGCCATACCCGCGGCGCTAACCACTACACCACGAGGGACGCGAGGGTGTGGGTAGGGCGAGCGCGATAGAATGGGCAACGGTGGGAAAGGCAGCGCTAAGCAAACAGACGGGCGACTAGGGGGCGCGGGCGGCGGCCCGGGACGGGAGGGTAGCCAGGCCGGGGTGCGCGCGGCGGGGAGGAGTTGGTGGGAGGGAGGGCCGCCGGGAGACAAAGACACGGCCGGCGGCCTCAGGCGGTGGCAGGTGACAGTTCGGCTCGGAGAGATAGCGCGGCGCCCGGCGGCCGGCGGGCGGCGGCCGGCGGCCGGCGGGCGGCGGGCGGGTTGGGGGGGGGGGGGGGGGGGGACCGGGCGGCGGCCGGCGGGGTGGCCGGGCGGCGGCCGGCGGGGCGGCCAGGCGGCGGGCGGGTCGTGGCTTAGGCCAGGGTTCATAATGTCCAGGGTACGATGTGTCCAGTGCTCGAAATGGCCAGTGCCTTGAATTGGCCAGTGTTCATATTGTCCAGGGTTTGCATGGTCCAAATGTGGCCAACTGGCTGCAGATAGGGTAAATTCAAAGAGGCCAGGGTTCATAATGTCCAGGGCACGATGTGTCCAGTGCTCGAAATGGCCAGGGTTCATAATGTCCAGGGCACGATGTGTTCAGTGTTCGAAATGGCCAGGGTTCATAATGTCCAGGGCACGATGTGTCCAGTGTTCAAAATGGCCAGTGCCTTGAATTGGCCAGAGTTCATAGTGTCCAGGGATTACACAGTCAACCAAACCAAACCAAACCAAACCAAACCTAACCTAACCTAACCTAACCTAACCTAACCTAACCTAACCTAACCTAACCTAACCTAACCTAACCTAACCTAACCTAACCTAACCTAACCTAAGGTAATGATGTTTGCCTACCGGGGATAAGGAAATAGTTTCTCGCATGAATAGATTGCAAGCAATAGTAAATCAAATATTTTTAGGTTAAGTGGTTATGCATCAGGCTTCAGGCCTTCGGCCTGAAGCCAGATACATAACCACTTAACCTAAAAATATTTGATTTACTATTGCCTGTAATCTCTCCTAAGGCATTGCCTTCGGCACTGCACTGCTTCGCATTGAGCTGGTTCCGTGTTTTTACATAATGACGTCACTTTCAATGACTATGTAATCCCTGGACATTATGAACTCTGGCCCATTCAAGGCACTGGCCATTTTGAACACTGGGCACATCGTTCCCTGGACATTATGAACCCTGGCCATTTCGAACACTGGACACATCGTGTCCTGGACATTATGAACCCTGGCCATTTCGAACACTGGACACATCGTGCCCTGGACATTATGAACCCTGGCCTCTTTGAATATACCCTATCTGCAGCCAGTTGGCCGCATTTGGACCATGCAATCCCTGGACATTATGAACTCTGGCCTATTCAAGGCACTGGCCATTTCGACACTGGGCATATCGTACCCTGGACATTATGAACCCTGGCCAGAATGAATGTTCCCCGTCGTGGCAGACAGGCAGGACAGCCAGCGGTAGCGTCAGGTGTGACGGTGGGCTGTCGGCGGTGGCATGACAGCGGTGACGACGAACGTAGCGGGCGTGACAGTAGGGTATGTCAGCGGCGGCGTGACTTGTTGGGTGACGGGCGAGGCATGGGCGGCGGCGGCAAGGCCGAGGTCTGTCGGCGGCGACAGACGAACAGTCCATGTGACAGAAGAGGTAGTCAGCAGCGGCGTGACCACGTATGACAGACGGGACAGGCCGGCAACGGGCGAGATAGTAGATTGTCAGCGGCGGCGTGACAGCATAATAGCAGACGGGAAATCTCACCGGCGACGGGTGAGATGGTGCGTTAGTGGGGCATGGCGGGCTGGCCGTACGAGAAACTCACATGACAAAGCAATGGGACGCAGCTGCGGCGTGACGGCGCGGGACGTGTCGGCGGTGAAAGACAAGCAAAGGAGCAGCAATCGCCACGTGATCGCCACGGCAGTAATCGACACGCAAATGGAACGCGGACCGCTCTGAAATGTTCAACACAAACAATACGAGGGGGGGGGGGGGTCGGTGCGCCGGCACGGAGCGCCCGCGGGCCTAAAGATGGCTGGTAGTGGCGTCGCTCGTGACAGCCTGGACACAATGGGGAGACGCCAGCAAGTAAAGGCGTGACTTACCGGATGCCCTTCCGCGTGCGGGGCGTCCCATCTTCGGGGGATGATCGCAGCGGCTTGAGCGCGCACGCACGAAAACGAGAGCGGCCTCGGTGTGGCGTGCCGCTCACACACTGTGGAGGGGAGCAGTGTCCTCGCTGGGGTGGACGGTGCTGTTAGCGCCCTCTGTGCCCCTCCCTCGTGTGCCGGGCACCTCCTGTCGGCGGGGCGGTGGTCGTCTCTATCGTCACGTTAATGTAATTTGCACGCGGAGTCGACGTGAAATGACCATTCTCGCCTGAGGCGCCACTGGCAACAGCAACTGTACGTTCATTTTAGCACGTAGCTCTGCGCGAGTGCTGAAACAGGCCCGAATGATTGTTTGTGTGACATTTGGTTGTCTTGCCACTGCACTGGCTGAAATCATCAGTATTTAAGAGTATGGGCCCAGAGTCTGAAATAAAGCTTATCTATCTATCTATCTATCTTAACGCTAGAAAGACGATGGTGGTAATGTCAATATCGGAAACGCATTTGGAAAAAAATACACAGAAAAAAAAGTTTGACAAATCGTCCATTTTTGGAGGTGTTTGCCTTCTAAGGAATTGATTTAAGGTCAAACTAGAGAAAACGGCTACGAGCAAAAAATGGACAAAAATTGGCCTGACCTAAAAATGGCTTAGCTATTTGTTTTAGATATGGCATCCGTTCGAACATTTCCAAAGAAGAACTGGAGTAAAATTTCATAATTTTGACGACCTTTCGAATACCGCATGGCCCAGAAGTCAAGCTGGAAGGGGAGATCGAACAACACCTAATCCGGCTCTTGTTACGGCCGGGCCACCGCCCGGACGTGGAATAATGAACCATTTATTCACGTTATTCTCTGACATTACAGTGTAGGTTGAACTGTCCATGTATATTGAGAGTCGTTACACGAAGTGCTTATGACGACATAAAATGTGACCTTTGGTGTATTCTTCACCTTCATTTCTAACATCAGAACAAAGCCATCGTCATTCGCAATCACTTTCGATTCAAGCCTACGGTCCACCCTCCCAGCCAACACTCTTCTAATGCAGCTTCGTATCTGTAGCAGCATAATCCTCCGAGGGTAACCGTTTTAAGTGACTGGTTGGCCTGTGGCTCTCCCGCGTGCATTGCGCCGTGGCTCTCCCGTGCCAACGGGATTGAATCAGTTGCTGCTTGCGGCGCACCATTTGGTGGTCGGCATAGCCCAATTTCTCCCTCGCTTCCTCTCAACTCATTGCCCTGAAATGGTGCGAGGTGACGACTGGCCTAGGCCAACAAAGAAAATTAGGTAAACGAATAGCATTACTGCCACTTACCCCTAATTTTCGAAGTGTGTTTCGGACAATCAAAATACTTAGGCATTCTATAGAATGCCTGGGAGCTTAAGCCAGGCATTCTATCTTGCAGGGGTCTAGAAAAATCGACCCTGTGACGTCATCAAGGGGGTTAGGTCCAAATTTTTTACTTCAGAAGATGTCAAGTTGATGGGAGAAAAGGTACTACAAGTTAAGTTTTCCTATACCTAAGCGTTCGGGAGCTATCGCAAATATTCTCCAGGGGGGAGCGAAAAACTAAACCCCCCGGGCCCGCGAGGGTTAAAAGAAGTCGCAAGGACCGACTGCCAACCGGGCTGTCTTAATGACGTCATTACTGGTTCAGAGCCACACGAAGTGACTTTATCGGGTCCAAGTCACGTTTCCAGCTTATCCTTCCAAATAAAAACTCAGACGTGATTTCGCATAAAAATCATCAATAGACAAGTGTCCCGCGCACCGACGGGGGTCTGCGCCAACTTCGTACCGACGGGGCGGGGGCGGATGACCGCCCCCCCCTGAGATCTCGAGAACAAAGCAAGATAGCGACAAGCGGTAAACGGCATCGGATACGCACGGACAAGGTCTACAATTTTTACCAAGGTCATTTTCAGGTCAGGTCAAAGATGACGTCACAGGGGTCGAAAAAGTCAAAATGGCGGCGCTAAATAAGGAGAGAGTATTTCTCGAATAACTTTCGAATTAGTCATGATAGGAACAAACTAAGGGCAGCATCGTGATCCTCTCGTCAATCCGCATCGAATGATATATATGTTGACCTCGAAAGGTCAAGGTCAAAGGTTGACCTCAGGTCACGTGACCTCGAGGTCATCATGTATATCATTCGATGCGTCTTGACGAGCTGAACACAATGAGACCATCCGCGCGGCTGTATCTTGTTCCTGTACGGAGTTATTGGCAAAAAACCTTTGGTGACCTTTGATGACGTCACATGACCTTACAGCTGCCCAACAGCAAAACAGACCTCAAGGTAGTGAAGGTTGATCGTATATGAAGTCATGTATGGTATATGGGGCCATTCCGACCCGTTTTAGTGGTAAAAACAGGGAGTAGATTTTTCCCCCATTGACTTATAATGGGGAGGTCGCGAAATTGACCTGACCTTAGGTCACCGACATCAAAATTCCGAGATATACAAATTGTAGCTACTAATGACCTAATAACATCCTGCGACTTTCAAAGACCTCCGACATCTACTGTAGCTCTGGCACGGTGACAAAGTTGCAAAAAAGTGACTTGAGGTTGGGTCATTCAAAGTGACCTGGTGACCTGACCTTCAAAGTTAGGAGGTTCAAACTTGCACACCATGTGTAAAATTGATGAGAGAATAGTCGTACCAAATTTCGCGCCGCGCCGCGGTTTTCCCGCTATCCGCGAAAAACCTCAGGGGGGGGCGGATATCCGCCCCCCCCCCCCCGTCGGTGCGCGTGTTAAAAAGTTAATCAATGGCATATAATCGAGATATGTGCAATGTGCACGGCCCACTTTTTTACAACTTTTGATTTATTTATGTTCAATCGCACTTGTAGAGCCTATCCACAAAAAGCCATCTCCATCAAAATGTGCCTTTGTCCGCCTCATCATTCCTGCAGCGTGGAGCTGATTTCTATCCCGGTTCATCTGGTTGGGCTCATCATTGATTCACTGCGGCATTGCTGTGGAGAAATCCGCCGCGGACGTCGGCCGAGGCGGGCGGTGTTTTTCGCCGCCGCTGATGCCAGCCGATGACGGCTCGGACAGGCCACCTGTCAATACCGGCCGGGAGAAAACACCTGCCCGTTTCCGCCGTGTCCGAACGAACATCGAAGACGCTGGGAGCTGAGACACAAACAGCTCAGACAAAAGCTCCTGAAGCGGGAAAAGGCTCCATAAAACTCGGGAGGGCTGATGCAGTAAACCTCGCTCATCTTTAGGAAAGACGATCTATCTGCATCTAAAAATGTCTTTGCAGCTACAAAATAGATGAACATCAAATTGTTATATTGTATCAGAGGCATCAGACACACATTTATATCGACAATGCATACTCTTTTTCAAGAAGAATATATGTACAAAATAAAAGGCAAACCAGAAGAAAACAGTTTTTGAACGTTTTTGCAAGCACGATTGCAGCAATAACGCATTGCTATTTTTCATGTTTGACCGAAACAAACTGAAACGAAGCGCCGGTTCTGAAGAGACCCAGTATTGTGATTGATTTAGGCAGGCCATTCTAACATTCAAGCCAATATGATATATGTAACCATTTTTGATTTTGTAGATGTATATGGACTATGTCTCCAGTGACCGTGACACTGTTGCCTCTGAGGCTCTGAAGGTCACTGGAGGCCACGGATTGTCACCGGTGCAGTCCCACCGGTACGGACATCATGGGCGATGTCGCGTTGGGCGGCCCGTTCTCGGTGCTTTCCATGCAGGGCTGATCGAGCCAGCGACCCCTTGACCATCGATTGAGCGGGATCGCGGCGGCGGACGGCGGGTCGGGCCGGGCGCGGCGGCAGGATTTGGACACGCGGCGCGGATGCTGATCGGGCAGCCGCGCTGGTGAGCGGCTGCCAGGCCGGTACAGCCGCTAATGGGAGCGGCCGAGCGGCGGTCCGATAGCCTTTTGTACATACCGGCCTGGCTGGTGTCAAAAGGCGACACAGGCGAGAAATGACACACGATCAAACCGCGGCCCGACGTACCTAAACGCCGTCTGCAGTGAGTCGTCAAATATAGAGACTGATGACCGCTATAAGAGAGTTCACTAAATGAGGTGATCATAGTTAGCGGCACTGAACTGAAGATAATCATGGAAAATAAGCGGGCTTTTAGCGTACTGTCCTCACAACTCCCGAATTACTCGTTGGACCATCGTTATCCTCGCACTAGAATGTTCACGACATTCGAGGCGATTTGCGCGTCTAGATTTAGCCCATCGCGAGATTACCGCGATAAATCGTTCAGTGTTATATGCGGCTTCGCTCGAACCCGATTATGTACCAGCTAGATCCAATTACCGAGGACAGGGAGAGTCAATCTCAGCAATGAGAACAAATACAGTGCTAGAACGTAATTACATCCCGCTAACTACTGCGGCGATCTCCAATGTAAAATACTTACTGAGCAGATACTTCATTAATCTCTAGCTAAATATAAATAACTATCCTCTCGTTTTAATCACCATTTCAAACTTGTGTTTAATCCCACATTTATCACATTGGTCCACGTCTATGCATTTACGCGACACATTATGTATACCTACGTCCCACTTATTATTAGTTTATGTTTTGTTTTACTGATTTCAACAAAATAACGAAAAAGCTACTATAACGTGCTTCGAGAACATGGCATAACAAACTAAGTAAACACATAGTACAGTCATAAACACCTAATTCAGATGTTCAATTCAAGTTAAATCTGTGTAAATGAACCTGCTCCGCTCCCTCAGCTCCAGCTCGCATCGGTGAGTACAAGCCTTCCACCGCCGTGAGCTCGAATGGCCAACCCAGGCCAGCGCGTCAGTACGGACCGATTCATCACCGATTCATCACGGGCCGATATCGGTCCATCGAATAACCAACAACCAAGCAACAGCGATTTCCTCTTAGTATTGTTTCCAGCCCGGGAAGCCCGAGTCAGCTAGACAGAATTTCAATGGTCCTACAAATTCTCTCATATGATTTTCATGCGGTCCCTTCAACGGAGTGGTAAACAAAGTCCCATTTCCGTAATCCAATATTCAGATCCAATTTATGTGTCCGACCTCCGTATGAAATTTCCGTTGGC